TTCACTCATTATTTCAGGCACAGGAACGTGGGTGCATGAGTGAATGGACACAAATGGATAATGATAGATGACATTGACACTTCCCGTCTCCTTCTTCGTTCTTTGGGTATTAATAATACTACAATGCTGGTGCCTGCAGATAAGCACATATTGTAACGTGAGTGGAGAGAGAGAGAGAGAGGTCATTTTTGACATGGGACCTTGCAGATTCGATTTGATTCGGGTTGATTGGCCAACGGCCTGAAAGGGGAAGTTGTTCGCCCCGATCATGCCAGGCAGAAGTGTGATGATATACGGGAGAGGGTGAAAGTTACAGACTCGGTTAATATGGATGGCAGCTTGCGTGGCGTGATGCGTACCTCGTCGATTTGCCTAGATGACTGGATACGCTCCGACTTCCTGGATGTCCTTGGCCTGTGGGTGATTCAATCATCGCTTCATAGATAATTTGTGGTATGGATGACGGCTTTTTTAAGAAGTTGAGAGACTCTAAGCAGGCGAATATTGCGAATAGCTACTTTTATAGCCTATGCACATGTCCATTCAATACGCTGCATTCTAACTTGTTTGTACCGTGTAATCTTTACTCAGGCGTTGTTCTATGGAAGGGTTATATGCTGGTACTCCAATTGCACCTCGTATTGTTTATTTCCCACATGGTTTGCATTCGGTCATTTAATGCCCCGAATTCTTTTTGTGCTTTGTATTCTCAACACCTGCTGCGTAGATTTCTTTTTAAATGTCTTTTTAAATTTGCCATTCTATTCTAGTATGTGTAAAATCTAACGAGGTACACGCCGAAGCCGACTTTTGCCGCCAGTTGTTCCTTCACGTTGTATCCAAACAGTCACCAGCATCTCCCACCTACCCAGAATGGATGGCATCCATGATTTTTCGTCCCCTAAATTCGGCATTATGCGAGCAACGACCGAAGAGGGGGTCCTTCCTTCCCTCTTTGACAAAAAATCTAGACTCTTCTTTATGACGTCTCTCTGCATCAACCCGTGCATTTTGCAGCGGGCGGGTTCTACGGAACGCCGTTTTGTTGTGAACCCTTGCATGAAGAGGGCATTTCATTTTTGCCTTTTAGCAAGAAGTGCCTACCTGCAGAATCGAAAGCTAACGGCGTGTTAATACCCTGGTTCGAAATGCCCGCTGCATGCAAACTAACGCACATGGAGTATGTAAGGGATATTGGTTCTTTTACGGAGTACTGCTACTGTAATAAACTACTACCTACTAGTATTACGACTAGCAGCACCACTATCGAGTTTGTCGATGCGTGTGATGTGCAGGCCGAAAACGCTTGCATATGAGCTTATGCATGCAGGAGACTAATTAATCCCGCAGAAAAAAAAAAAGGAAAGAAAAACAGTTCATGTTGAGAGCTGCCGTTGCGGGGGAGGGGAAAAAGAAGACGACAAGGGTCGAAACAAAGAGGAGGGACGCAAAAAGAAGAGGGGGATGGAGAAAAAGAAGGAGACGTTATTATGATCTAGAGAAGAGAGGGAACATTGCCAGGGGAGCTGCCTAGATGTCACATAGTAGTACTCGATGTCTTGCTCTGTGGTAAGAACCCGTGATGCTCCCACTGACAGGCTCCATTGTCTGGTTTGATCTGGTTTGATGTAGCTTATTGCTGTATAAATCACCAATCTGAGTGAAGAGGCCTCTTCGTTTGGCAATCACAAAGGTTACGGAAAATCTCTCTCAAAACACGCAATACCTTGAGTTATCTAGCACTCTAGTTATATTATCAGGCACTCTAGCTGCCAATAGAATAGGGTAGGCTACTACTACTGCCCCTACTGCTCCTACTGCTGCTACTTCAAAGTCAATATAACAACTACCCTTACATCTATATGTAGACTGGCTGGCTTGTTGGGCTACACTTGGGGTGCTAGATAATAGAACTGAAACCTGCAGAGTTGAGAAGATAGATGCCTGGCCAGACAAGTCAACAATATCTATCTATCTTAATTATGCCCATCTAGCTACACCGGCCGCATGCTTGGACGGTAGCTGCACAAGTTTCATCATCGTCTGCATTGAGACTACATACCCAGTCCCTAAATCTGCTTCGTCACTTAAACCATAGCTCAGATGAGATATCCTACGGCGAGCGAAAGTTCGTCGCCTGCTTTCTTCATACTCCCAACGCCATCTTTGCATCCGGCCATCTTTTCCGTCCTCATTAATAGTTACAGAAAAAAAAAAAAAGTCAGGGGTAAAAGAAAAAGAAAAAAAAAGAAAAAAAGGGCCGTTGTTAAATTTCAATTGCGCATGTCATAACCCTCCATTAGTCCATCTCTAACCTCACCCCGTCAAGTTATACGGAACGATAGCCTTGTCGATAATCGGGTCCTTCCGTGACATGTGCGTAGCTTCCAGTCCCCATCGTGATCTCCAGTCCATATTCTTTCGTACCGCCTTGTCAAATGCCTCTCGGCATTCTGCTGGCAGTAAATCTTTGATCTCGTCTGACACAGCGCCCAGCCCGTTAAACTGCGCAACGAAATCTGCTGGATCAGACTTCTCGACTGCAGCCGGAGCTCCGCCTGCCGCTGGCGTCTCAAAGTAAGTGTCGATGACTGCAAAGTTTCTGGCCATCTTCAGGGGCACTGGTGGGAACACGAGATCGGCCTTGGTGGCTGCTTGGTCTTCGGGCGAAATTTGCTCGATACGCGCAACTGTCGGCTGCATGGAGGCTGGATACTGCATGGTGTTTGTATGAATGTCGTAAACACCGGCGTTGTTTAGCTTTCTGATGGCGTTGATGCCCGCGTTGAATGCACTGGAATCATGGTTAGTAAAAATTTTTTTTTTGTCCCATATAACTGTCATTTTCCAGTTCACACATACCTTGCTTCTCGTGCATGCTCCAGCATCCAGTTTGTGTCATTGACGTTTACCTTGCGCTTCTTCGACTCAACCTTGCCACTGGGCACCGGTATAGAAGGCGTATTGGTGTGATATACTGCGCTGGCACCGTGCCACGCAACATACTGGTTCTTGTTATATGGCTCTCCCGGCACAAAGTGATCGTCTGGGTCGGCGAGCTGGCCTTCAACCGCCCCCTCCTCGCGAGCCAGGGTGACGGCGTAGTCGTCGACAATGCGCTTTCCACCCACAACAATCCGGGCGCCGAACTCCCTAAACACCGACCGGGCCGTGACAATTCCTATTGAACGGCCCTTGTACGAGTGGGGGATAATCTCTCGCTCAATCATGTCGCGCTTCTCGTCGTCGTCCACGATAATCTTGTACAGCTTGCGGTGCTTCGTGAAGAAGAGGTAGCTGTCCCTGAAACCAACGCATCGCGCGGGCTCTGTAGACAACATGTAGAGTCGGTTGCCTCGACCGAGCACCTTGAATGTTCGGCAGCGGTAGTCTCGTCCATCCAGCAGATTGCCCAGCTTATCAACCTTGGTCTCGCCCACTGGATCCTCGGGGAGGACGCATTCGTCGTCAACAATGTCGGCTACCGTGCCCTCAGCATCAATCACCTGCTCGGCCTTTGGCGCCGCAGGGCCTCCCTTGCGCCCGCCTCGTCCTCTCCATCCTCCGCGACCTCTCCGACGCGGCGTATCGGCCTCTTCCTTTGTGACAGTCACCATGTTATCCCAGTCGGGTGGTCGATTCTTAGGAGGGCGTCCCAATCGTTTTCGGCGAATTACAGGCTCTGGAGGCGGCGTTGGCTCCTTTGCAGAAGCTTCTGATTCATCGTCATCGTCGCCCTCATCGTCCTTGTCTGCAACCTCTGCGTCATCGTCGCCGGATTCTTCCTCCGCCGCCTCGTTCTCCTCGACATCCTCGTCCTTCTCGTCTGCAGAAGCATTGGTGCGGACATCTGGCATAGGCTCGTCTTCGAGATCGGCATAGCCCTTGGGCGTGCTCCCTTTACGCGCAGAATTGCGAATTAGCTTCAGTCGAATGGGCGGCTGTTCCCCCATGTTTTTCCTCCTTGAACCCATGATGACAAGAAAAAGTCTAGCTGCGCTGCAGCAAAAAGGGAAAAAGAAGAGAAAGAGAACAGTAAATCAGACAAGAGAAAGAAGAAAGTGAATTAGACAAGAGAAAGAGCTTCAGTCACAATTTACTTCATTGCATGTAGAAAAAAAAAGATATGGTAGGAGCAGTCGTCAAACAGGACCTGACTCGCAAGAGGGCTCTAAAAAAACGTACCAAGAGCAGCAGCAGCCTTTTTGGCCGCCGCGCGACCTGATCTCCGACTAGGCATCTTCGCCTCTCGCCTCTCTGGAGCTCTCCAGGAAGATCGCCGCGGTCCTTTGTGGATAAATAGCAAAAAGAAGCTAGAAAATGCGCGTTGTCGCAGTGCAAACGCCAAAACAGAGCAACGACAGAGAGATGAAGCTGTCAGAAACGCAATCGAGATGCGAAGCCTCGCGGGCGAACCAACCAGCGGCTGGCCTTTTTCCCTTGTATAGCCTTTTCGCGGCGCGTTGCTTTAGTGGCGATCGACCCGATTGGCTGGCGATTGGCTGGCGATTGGCTGGCGATTGGCTGGTAATACAGTGTTTGTTCACCATATTACCGTAACTCATACAGTACGCAGACAATGACATATGCTTGAGGAAAGAGCTGGATCAATAAAATGAGTAGGAGTAGGTTAAAATAGGTGTACATCTACGACTTTACTAGTATTTCTTTGATTATGGTCACTTCTTCACTAAAAGCTACTTGCTTGTACGAGAGCATCGTTATTTTCTTTTCGGATTACCTAGTAGTAATTGCTCTGCCTAGGACATGCATCAAAACTTCGTGATGGAAAAAAAAAGAGAACGTTTCCCCTATAGACTATCTCGTAAAACAAAAAGGTTCCCGTCTATCAATCCATACAAGCAGTAAGAAATAGCAATAATCCATCTGAATACGCCAAAGAAACAATATGCTCAAGCTCTGCCACAAAACCTTTCAATGCAGCATCATTCTTCACTAACGTCCATCGTCGTAGCCACTCGCATGGTATTCCCTCCATCTTACAAGGTGTCCCAGCCCCCATTGTTGATATCCGCCTCTAGCTTTCGACTGATTAGGCTGGGAACTCCATGCTTGAGTATTGTGCTTCTGATCATGGAGTCATATCGTTTCTGATTCAAATATAGCTGCCGGCCATGTCGCAGCTGTGGGTCTGTCTCGCCGTATTTATCAATGTACGGTGCAGGAGTGAATGACCCGGAGCGGTAGAATAGGTAGACGATAGCACACTTCCGCACATTGAGGAATACGCCAATATTCCTTTGGCACCTGTGACAAAGTTAGTCATTTGCAAATCAACCTTTAAAAAGTAAAAAGAGACAGAAATAAAACAACATTAGAAATAGAAAGAAAAGATTAGGTGGCCGTACTTTTTCATATGTTGTTGGGCGCCGCCAAGTTTAGTGCCATCCGTATCAAGTTTCTGGCAACATGTGCCCTGGCTGCAGAACAAATCTCCACAGAAAAGACAAATGACGGGATCCGTGAGATCCTTACCCGTCGTAGGGCATCTCCTTCTCGCAGCTTCTTCGATCAAGGTATCAAACGTTCTGGGGAGCCCAATGAGTTCGAATATGCCGGGATGGCTGACCATCGCGGAAGGGACCAAGTCGGGGAAACCCTTAGTCCAGAGCACTTGGTGCTTCACCCAGCCCGTCACTAATGCGGGCGTAGTATTAGGCCATCCGCAAGTCAGGGAATCCATTGTCATGGCTGCACACATTTCATCAAATGTCGGCAGCTGTAGGGCCTCGGTGAGGCGATCAAGCTCATCCGCGTCCGGGGTTGATGAGATGTGGTTGTTAAAGTCCACACCATATTTGACGTGGAGGAATATGGTACTTTTCCGCAAAAAGGCCAGCGCATATTTCTTCACAAATGAATACCATCCTTCTAAAGTGTCTACACCTGGTTGCTGGAAGCCTCGGTTTTCTCCCATGTCTGGAATGTCGTTGCCAGACCTCGCTTGGAACTCCACGCTCGACTTGCTCAAAGCCAGAGCGAAATCTGCAAAATTGTTCATGACGGGGTCTTGAGTCTCTCGATTGGCCAACGTGCCGAACCACAGGCCTACCGGCATATTGCGACCCATATGGAACACAACCTTGACAATCTCTGCCAAGTAGCACAGCCTGACCACATGCATGATGTCGACGTTTTGGGCCACCACTAGACCGTAGCTGCATTCAACTAGAAAGAGGAAGGGGTCCATGCTTAACAACGGCGGGTAGCTATACAACCGTCGTCGCGCATCGCCAGCTTCCGCTCCAAAATACTGCGCCATGAAGAGCTGACCATGCTGCTGTTCTGCATCTGCGATGAATTCGCTTTCTATTCGGCCCCCTGGAAGAGAATGTCGACCGCCCATCGCTATATATGCCGAGGTAGTTTCCGCTAGAATTCGTAGATGGGAAATCACTTGCTCTGGGATCTTTTCAATCAACGTCATCCCTGGCTGCGCTTCGACTCCACGTTGCTCAATCTCCACAGAGGATATGGTGCACCCAACCACTTGAACCAATGTATCGCTTGAGTGCAAATCTTCCCCTGCTTGGATCTTATCCACAGGGTAACGGGTATCAAGCTTATTCACCACAAGAGTCTCCTTAATGCGATGGTAGGCTGTTAACAGCTCCATGAGCAGAAGCTCGTTGGTGGTAACGAGTTGCTGATTGGCCCCTGCTTCTGACGTCTCTGCGGCGGCGGCGGATCTCGAAGAGCTGCCCGATGCCCTCGGCGTTGTTGACGATCGTGCCTCAAGGTCTTCCTTACCAACCCAGTGAGGATTTTGAGGAGGCTTTACTTGAGTGATTGTTTGTAGTAAACTGCCAGGAAGGCTTGGGGTGTGAATAGCAGGCAACCTTGAATCATCCACCTCACGGGCCTTGCTACCGCCGAATGGGTACGATGACATTTGCTTGTCTAGAAAATCTTCAAAGCTTTCTTCTGCTTGAAGATTTCCCGGATAGGACTCTTCCAAGCCCTTCCAAACGATTGGCACAAAAACGTTCCCCAGCGCTTTGCAGAGGGGACACACGAACTCGTGCCGGTTAATGTTCTCAGGATGATGTCGGGCAATCTGATGGGTGTGACGACGATTTGCAGCCTCGACGTACTGCTCAAAACAGCTGTAATGCATCATATGCCCACAACTGCTAGCCACTGGTCCCGGTCGTGAGAGGGAAGCTTTGAATCCTCTGCCAATGGTCTGTCGCTCGGCAAGGAATGTATCCCCTTGAGCATTTAGTTTCTCAACCATCTTTCTGTTTTCTTGGGCGATACCAAAGGGCCGAATATCCTCTGCTGACCGGTCGAGGTTGCACGGAGTTTGAGAAGCTTCTCGGACGAGGTCAGGGTCCTGAAAGTCTGTCTGGCGAAACAGAAGGCTCTCATTAATTTGGGCAAAAGCACCATACAATCGCCGATCATCAGCTTCCTCTTGGCATAGGATACAGGTTCCGGTTGGATATTTCCAGTTATGTTTGCGGTCTTCGGTTTGCTCTGTCTCCTCATCTTCCTCGTCGAGGTCAGATCCCCAGTCAATAGTAGTGCCCTGAGTCTCTAAGAAGCTCTTTTGCTGCTGCTGGAATTGCGCCATTACTCTGGCCTGGCGATCGATGGCTGCTTGCTTTCTTCTCTCGCGCTCGCCGTCAACAGAGATGTTCGCTGGGGACGCGGTATTAACGCGATCCAAGGGCAGTCCAAGTTTCAGGAATTCCGCGTTGAATGTCGTCGGTCTTTTCTGCTTGAGACGCTTGAGAACGAGGGAAATTCTGGGATGAACCGCTTTGAAGTCCTCATTGGTAGACAGCATATCTAAGAGCGAAACAATAGTCCTGGCATCCTTTGCTTCGCGCATAAAATTGCTTCGCGCGATCCGTGTAAGTGCGGCATGGACAAAGGATTTGGGGGATTTTCCGGACATTTCTGTGTCAACGCTTTCATCTTCCATAATAGCCAGCAGGATAAGGTGAAGAACAACTTGGAGGAACGTTTCAAGCCTCGTATTGGGCACCGACGGCGTGATTTTATGAGACGTTAATACATATAACAGCGAGTAATAGATAACCTGTGCAAAGACGCCCGTGCCGGTGAAATCGGCCAGATGCTGGAAGAGACCGGACGGTATTGGTCGCAGCTTCGGCTCGAAGACGATATCGTCTATGGCTTGGCCTGTCTTTTTGGCCATCTTTTTGCGGTAAGCAAGCTCAGATTCCTCGCGTTGATTTTTATTGTAGTGTGCAATGTAAGGGTCGATCTCTTCGATAAACTCTTGTCGAAGCTCAAAGGTTCCCACATCGGAAACGCCCTCAGGCGGTTTGAACGTAGCCATCTCATCCAAGACTTGGTGGAATTCTTCCGACTCTTGGTATTTTTCAGGGAGCTTCAAGCAAATCTCGTTGAATGAAAGGGGCTTGAGGCATAATACATGGATGATATCTCGGCGCATAGCTAGTAGTCGAGAGTTGGGCTGATCCTCCGGAGCGATTAAACTGGTACGATCACTCAGGAGAACAATAAGGAGATGAATCATGTCTTCGACAACATCGAGATGCTGGGCATCATCTTGGGCTTCTGAAAAGACTTCAAAAATGCCCTTGACCCAGTTTTCCATTCCAAATCGGTCAATGATGGATGCCAAGACTCGAGCGGGATCGCAGACTACCATTGCTGTTTGCAAAAGGAATATGTCTCGATGATGAGAGACGTCTCTCTGCCCAACTCCGCGATAGGTACTAGCTTGATGGCGGAGGCTAATACCATTTCGAACCCACATGTTGGCTTTAATCTGGGCTAGCCAAGCGCAGACACGGAGAGGGTAATCAAAGAGAGCCATCAGATAGTCCTCATGACTATACTCTTTCTTGGGGATTTGTATAGGCCCTACCGCCATGAGCCGTGGTTTCGACTTGAGCTCTTGACGAGTGAAGCTCAGCAGAGCTCGCATCTTAGACGCAGGAAGAGATCTTCCACATTCAATCAACCAAGATAGTGTATAATGTAGCCCGTGGTGAAAACTGATGGAATCTTTTTCGACAACGAATTGGACGACATCATACGATTTGCCCTCAATATCAAACTCCAAGTCGCTCATCGTCTTAAATCTCACCTCATCTCTGATCTCTCCTTGTTTGAGTCTGAGCCGATCCCCTCCAACCGAATTGAAGATGGCAGCCTTGGCAGCTATACGGATGGCTCGCATGAGATGACGCATCTCGTCGGGTGGGCACTCGCGGAATGCTTCGGCCAAATTTCTGGCTTGCAAATTGATTTGGCGAGTAACGAGAGATGCGGTAATCCAGGAGTCTGCTTCATATTCCACATGCTCAATGACCGCACGTACGTTGGGCCCGATCCCTTGGTGAAGCTTCACCAAATCCAGAAACTGCATTAGGTACCTGGGTTCGCTCCTGAGCCGCTCTTGAACGTGCTGAGAGCTGAAAAGGTACTTTAGGTCTTGGTAGAAGTGATACATGCGTCTATTAGTGACTGAACCACTATCAAAGGCAAGGACAGCAGTGGGTGAGATATCCCAAGGATGGCCGACTTGTCTGGTCGTCAAGAACGTGTATAGGATTGCTAATAAGCTAGTCAAAAAGTTTCCCCGTTCTATTACTTCAGCGGTGATGGATGCCGTGGTCAGCATCTGAAGAGAGAGGTTGATTATGGAGTGATCTGGCTCTCGATCTCCAACGAGATACAGCTGAGCCAGGATAGTGTAAAGGCTGGCAAACCGAAGAGCTAGAACCCTTTTGAATTCAGGAATCTGGACTACGGTGGATATGTATAGAGCACGGAGATCGTTTCGAACCCTTTTCCACATTCGTAGATCAAAGAGAAGTAGCCAGTCCAGACGAACTCGTTGAAACACATCTTCTGCTGGCAGGACAATCTCTGATCGTGTGTATGCGGCCGGGGTTTCAAGCCAATACAGTCCAGGATTGGGCATAGCCTTTTCTGATTTGCCAGGCGTTTTGGGAATATCGACGTTCGCCTTTGAGTGTATACTCTGCGCAATGAGAGGCTCTTGCATATCGGATTCGGACGGTGTGCCCTCACGCTGCCGGGTATTTTGATCTGTCTCTGCGGGGGCCGGGCCAGGGGCAGTGGCAGGAACAGGCGGCGGCGGTGGCGGAGGCGGATATCCAGCCAGAGTTGCTTCGTGATCTTCCAAGGATATGTCATCCGGTCTGAATGTCATATCTAGCTCAGAAATAGTGTCTCGGGCGTCGACCATGATGACATCGTCGTCTCCATCATCCGAAAAAGAGCGATTATCGTCATCGTCTTCATCGTCGTCGTCGTCATCGTCATCATCATCGACATCTCCAACATCAACGTCGATTTCCACATCCAAGCCACCTCTGGCTCTAGCAGCAGCTTGTAGAGCCAGGATGAATCGCGCGTTCACATTGTGCAGCATATCTCTTGATTCCATTCGCTGATCCTCTTCTTCCTCGTCATCAATGAGGCCCATGGTATGGGTCGCGGCACTGCCTTTCCTCCAAGGCTTCATAGTCTCTTCGCATATGGTGCGGCGAAGAATGAGGTTGTCGTGACCGATTGAACAACCAGATATGTCGCTTAGCCATTCGACTAAAGTGCCACACATCTGTTCCCGAAAGGTGTCTCTTGCTGACCGAATAGTGATCGTAACTCTGATGGCTTCTAGAATCTTTGCCATTTGTAACAGCCGATCGACGTCGTCTGAGAATATCAAAAGGCTTCGACCCACTGCATCAGTGTCCCAGGCATCCTTGCTTGCCTGTCGACGGGACTTCCGACAAGCACGAGCAACCTGATCTCTGACTTCGTCAACGGTGTGCTTTTCATCATTCCAGAGCACCAGTGCAAACTCGGTTGGATCTTCGGTATCTGTAACATCCGAGCCGTAGTATGTTGATTGCAGGCGGGATGTTTCTTCATCCTTCAGAATCGACTCCTTTGTCTTCGACTGGCGAAGCTGTTCCGGCGAACACGATATAACGTCACAGATGTAATCAAATGCCCTGCCAATTGTCATTTGAACACTATTGACGAGGTCCTCTGGAAGCGAAGGGGGCGCCTTTGGGTCCTTCGCATGAGGTCCAGATGCCATGTCGGAATGGATTGTACAATATAGCGGCGTCTTCCAGGCTTCATCGTCTCCGCAATCGCAGCAGCCGCTATTACCCACTGAGATCTGTATCCTCACCATATGACCTGTATGATCTGTCGCATCAAAACATCGGCTACACAGGCAGCACGTCTCGTCCGTCCCGCAGGTCCTGCACATGTAAGAGGCCTCGCCAGGTTTGAAAATGTGGCCACATCGTTTCCCACGGGCTGCTTCTGTATATTCAGCGCCCTCTACGGCGCCTTGGGCATCGCTAAGCTTGAGGCTTTCGGACGGTCTGCCCTCGGGGAACAGAAGCCGCATGTACTCATGGTTACCACCAGCGAGGGACCAAAAGAGACTGGACAAGAGCTCCCGGGCAGCTTCTTCTGTATATCTATTGTTGTATCGTGCAGGCAGACCTCCCAATAGCTGACAGAGCTGCTGCTCTTGAGTTGACAGGGGGCTCTCCATGGTCATGAGCTCATGATGCAGCTCGTAGGGTGATGAAGAGTAGCAATAGCGGGCGGCTGGCGACGAGTGGCGTAATGCGAGGTGGGGGAATGCTTTTGGCAGTTTCAGCTCGAGCAGAAGAAATGCTTGTTCCGAAATGTACGTCCGGTCGTGGTCGAGGCTTAAGATGGACAGGCAGGCGTGCAGCTTGGCCAGATGGAGGCGTAAAATATTTTTGTCGTGTCGCTGGCACGGTTGGAGAAATAATGTGCTCTGGTGGAAGTTTGATCTGAGGTAGGCGAAGATCAGCTACCTACGCATCGTTACTAAGACAGCACTGCCAAGGTGCGACTAAGCTTCGGCTGCAGCACTTTTCGGGGGGCTCTTACTGGCTCTACCCCTCGGTGACAAGCCCCGAGTCGACCGACGTCAGAATCCGCTGCTGCGCACAGTGGCCTCGCCAAAAGTCTGTGATTCATCACAAATGCTTTTCATCTACATGCACCAGATATAGCAAGTGTATATGTTCAAAATACAGTTATCTCATGCCTGAATCAAAGGGCCCAGTAGCGTCCCCCGAGCTCAACGTAGGCTTGGCCGCTGAATATCAGCATCGTACGACCGTAGCACAATCATATCACAGCTATACAGGCCAAGAAAAGAAAGGAAATTCAAATAGCTGTGAACCGTTCTATTTCTCGTTTTATTTATACACTTTTGCCTAAAGCAGTCCCATTCGACACCCATTCTATCCTGAGAAACGCGGAGTTTCCTTACTCCTCATCCTCGCCACCCTCAACGTACTTGTTTCGGATGTCCTTCCATTGGCGCTGGTTCGCTCGTTAGCCATTGTCTGGTCCCTTGCTTGTCGTAATGAGCAAACTTACGCCTCGGTTGTTGCTGTCCCAGATCTTGTCCATAGTAGAGTTGAAACCGCTATCACATCACTGATTAGTCCTTTGTTCCGCCTCAACGTTCGGTCGGTATTATAGGATCCTCGTACATCTCCCAAGCAAAGCCGGCGGCGAAAACTGTCGCAAGCATGGTGTAGTTCTTGCGGAACAGGGTGCTGTAGAGCCGTGTATTAGAATGCGAGTCAACGTCGTTCGTTTGTCGTCGTGGTAACTTGCCTGTAGATGGTGTTGGCGAGAGACTGCGCACATGCGCGATTAGCTTTGGGCACGAAAATCGGACGAGCTGGATCGCTGGAACACTCACCATCTTGGCTTTGACGAGCAATTGAATGCTTCTGATACAGTCGCGGGTGGGTAGAGACCGAGGTTCTGTCGTTGGCGGGTTTTTACAAAGGATAGGAATGGCCTCAGTGGAAGTTCTGCTAAGGAAATTCGCGAAGATGCAAAGCAGGAAGTAAGCAGCGCTGATTGGTCAATAGCGCCTCAATCTCGGCCCCACAATTTTCAACCCGGCGTCTCCCGCCGACACTCTTGTTCAGAGACAAAAAAGTGTTGTTACAGGTGGTTATAATAAAGAAAGTAAATAAATAGAAAATATCTCGCATTGTCTTTCTAATAATTTCTCTGTAACTTTAAAAGATCATAGCTCATGAGTGACTCAGCTATTTTTTTGCTATTTTTTTTTCCGGTAAACCTACAATTCTTCTTATACATGGCCACAATGCTATTTCAGTTCTAATAGATTATATAGTCAATATATTATTTAGCAATTGAATTAATAGAGATAACATAGGTAATAATAATATTTAAAGTGCTATACATATTAATCATATTCCACAGATAGGAAATAAACAATAGTATTAATAGCAGCAGTAACAGCAGTAGCAGCAGTAGCAGCAGCAGTATAAATTAGGCAATGCAACATAATCATGAAACTATATGTACTAACGCTAATTATTAGTTGACTCTTTATATTCAGGCTTCTCCCTTCCTTGTAAGTACTGAAACGATGTTAGGCTCGAGATATGAGACGGACAACAAGCTCACCAAAGCTATCTACTACCATGCGAGAACGATGCATGGGCCCCGGGACACCTGAGCTGGTTCAAGATCGAAGCACGTCTTCAAAACTATGCCATCGAACCCTCGACCGGCAATTTCGCGAGCTACAACATACAAAATCGAATGGTAAAAACTCAACTCCCTATGCGTAATATCTGATAAATCTCTCTGAACCTTCGCTATGTTATTGCTTGTCCAGCCATAGAAGAAAGATTACGTATAGAATCTTCATTGCTGTGTGATCGTTTCCCCCAATTTTCCTGTCTGTATTGCCTCTGCTACATAGAGTATCAGTATGCCTCTACTGCTATGGCCTGTTATGGAGCGTATTTTAGTTGGTATCAAATGGCCTAGCAATTGCCATTCATGGATACAAGTATAGGTGCGCTGTACTTCTTACAGGCATGGGTGTAAGTCCACATACTCTGGAGGTAGGTACCTAAAGTGCCATCGTATCATAGTAGCTTCTGACACATCGTCCTTCCGCCGAGAAGATCATCACAAAGTTCAGAAGAACGTAGCAGAGAAGTCAGGGAATTAATTTGGCACAATTGAATTTATGGATATACGAGGATAATACGTACTGAGGTGCTTTAGAGTTCGCGTATCGGCTTGCAGCTGACAGGATTATTCCCATGCCTGCTTAGGTACCCCTAGCAAACATAATACTTCCATTTTCAGAGCCATCCGAACGTTTACAAAATGATTCTTCCAAGTTACTATTTCGTAGAGCAACTGCTCTCACTTCTCGCGCTTCTTTTATATCTTCAATCGAAAAGTACAATCAGCAAACAACGGCTTTACAGCGTCAGCCCCGCCATCGCCGGCGTATGCAGTGCCTGAGAAGCGGCCTTGGTCCAAGCTTTCCCCTCCCCTCTCCCATCTTAGCCAATCACTGCCAGTGATGTCAATGTTCGGCTTATGTAATCACCTCTTGGTCGCTTTGCAGGCTACCGTTGGGACGCGCGACCAGCGAGCTTGCATCAACCAGCTCAGCTCGCATTACAGCCGATCTGTTTCGCCAACGACATCTTCCCCAATTACGTCCAGCAAACGCATCTGGGGGAATCCTTACAACAGCTTCCGCACCAGATAACGAAAACACTAGGCTTGTCCCTTCGCACAGCGGGTACAAGCGCAATCGGTCCTCTCCATCTCGCCGTTCTCTTACCCCACGTCGCCGCCTCTTCTTCATCGAACACCAGATATAAACCAAAATGGATCACCGTCCGCAAGCATGGGGTCGGGTGAGTGCAACTACCAATATTTCAAACTTATACGATGAAATAATAACCGAAATGACACCTTGAATCTATGTCGCTGACTCCTTTGCACAGCCTAGAGACGACGTCTACGGCGCCTACGACCACTCCTACATGCAGGAGAACGGGCCCAAGCAAAACACCCAGCAGCCCATCGTCACTGGTACCTCAGTAATAGGAATCAAGTTTAAGGACGGCGTCGTCATCGCCGCCGATAACCTGGGTTAGTGCCACTGCCCAGTCTACATCAAGCCTGCCTCAGCTTGTCCTCCCATATAGGGACAGGAAACCACTGACTAACCCCAACTTCAATCACCACAGCTTCATACGGTTCCCTCGCTCGCTTCACCGACGTCAAGCGTCTCCGCCCCTTCGCCGACTCATCCATCCTCGGCTTCAGCGGCGACATCTCCGACATGCAGTACCTCGACCGCCACCTCACCGAGCTCTCCCTCTCCGAGGCCTACGAGTCCCCCGACAAGCCTCGCCTCAACGCCGCCAACCTCCACCGATACCTCTCCAAGCTCCTCTACAACCGCCGCTCCAAGTTCGACCCGCTCTGGAACCACCTCCTCGTCGGCGGCCTCGACGACAACGGCGAGCCCTTCCTCGCCGCCGCCGACCTCCTCGGCAGCACCTACTCCGCCCCTTCCCTCGCCACGGGCTTCGGCGCCATGCTGGCCCAGCCCATCATGAGACGCTACGTCCCCGACGAAGAGGCGGCCAAGAAGCTCTCCCGCGAGGAGGCCGTCGATATCGTCAAGGAGGCCATGAAGGTGCTCTTCTACCGTGACGCTCGAAGTCTGGATACCTACTCATTAGCCGTTGTAACCAAGGATGGCGTCGAACTGAAGGAGGACGAAAAGCTGGAGAACCAAAGCTGGGCATTTGCAGACAGGATCAAGGGTTACGGCACTCAGACAGTCTAGAGATGGATACTAGAGTCATGGAGATATAATTGCCTGGGCCTGTTCTATTTTTTCAGCTAGCATTAAAAAAGAAAGAAAAGAAGAATACAAAACCTCTATTTAATTAAAGCTTACAGCAGAGCGGTTAATCTCAGCAGCATGCAGAAAGAACATCCTAGTACGATGCTAAGATTTCTGCTGTTTTTGTTAATGTAACGCTTGCTAGTAGTCCCCTAGGAATCTAGGAAAACGTTTCAATTGCAAACAAGATCACCGGGTCTTTGTCTTTTTTCTTTTACTTTCTCAATTCTCTCTGCCTTGTATTTAATCAAGTAGCAGATAACGCAAAAGTCTACGTACAAAACGCTAAGAATACTGGTTTTGCTTCAAAAAACAAATATACCAATACGCTCTAGCAGCTCCAGTGCTCCATGTGATATAGCACTTTGTCGTCCTCGCTGACATTTGTATCCCAATCAGGATCTCATTAAATACAAAAAAAGGGGGCATCTTCCCATAAAAAACAAGTTGCTAAGCCGTAAAAAACTTCCTGACTGCCAATTCCTCATTATCTTTTTTAAGCTTGGGGCGGTGAAAAGCTCTGCTATGCCAACGCCCAGTATGTAGAGCCGACCGGCGCCTCTTTACTCGACAGTGACAGACTTGGCCAAGTTTCGAGGGAAATCAACGTTGAGACCCTCGAGAACGGCCAGCCAGTAGGAAATCAGCTGTAGAGGAATGACGTTGAGAATGCCCTGCAGGCAGTCAACGGTCTTGGGGATCTCGATCTTGAGAGCATCAGAGTTTCTGAACTCCTCGTCACCAGGGTTGCAGATGACGATGGGCTTGCCGCCTCGGGCAATGACTGTAGCGATAAATGTTAGCTTCAGAATAGAACAAGTAAGGGGCTGGGTACCATATTAAACTTACCTTGCTGGTAGGCGTTGAGAGACTTCTTGAAGATCTCGTCACGGGTGAGGATCATGATGATGGGGAGGTTCTCATCAACCAAGGCCAAAACACCGTGCTTCAGCTCGCCAGACATGACGGCCTCGCAGTGGAGGTAGGAAATTTCCTTGATCTTCAGCGCACCCTCAAGGGCGGTGGAGAACTGGCTACCACGGCCAAGCAGCAACAGGGACTTTTGATCCTTGAAAACCTTCTGGCACAGGTCCTTGATGGGCTGGTCAAGTTCGAGGATGTCCTTGATCTGGGCTGAGACGTTACCAAGACCCTCGATGATCTCCTCTCGGCGAGCCTTCTTGGAAGCCCGGTCCTCGCTAAGGGAGAGGGCGAACATGACCATGGCAATGAACTGGGAGGTATAGGCCTTGGTGGAGGCAACACCGATTTCGGGACCAGCGTTGACGTGAACACCGCAGTGGGTGAGGAGGGAGATGGAAGAACCGACAACGTTGACGATACCGACGGTGAGAGCACCGCGCTCCAAGCAGTAGCGGAGAGCCATCAGAGAATCAGCAGTCTCACCGGACTGAGAAACAAAGACGCAAGTGTCGTCTCGGAAGACGGGAGCCTCACGATCAAGGAAATCAGAGGCCAGCTCGACAGAGATGGGAATCTCCGTGAGCTCCTCAAAGATACCACGGACAGCCATGCAAGAGTGGTAGCTGGTACCGCAGGCAATGAAGATGATTCTGCGGCATCGTCTGATGGTGGAGATGTATGAACGCAGACCACCGAGGGTGACACTCTTGTTAGCAATGTCGAGACGACCTCGCATGGTGTTGACGACAGACTCGGGCTGCTCGAAGATCTCCTTCTGCATGAAGTGGTCGAACTTGCCCTTCATGATCTCCTGAAGCTCGAGCTCCAGAGTGTGGATAGCTCGGACGTTGGAGCTGCCATCAGCCTTCTTCAGGCGGTGGATGTTGAGGGAGCCCTCGTGGATGTGAGCAATGTCGTCATCCTCGAGGTACAGGACCTTCTTGGTGTGCTCAACGATGGCAGAGGGGTCAGAAGACAGGAAGAACTCGGTGGGCATGGGCATGCCGTCATCGGTCATGAAAGCACGGGACTGGCTGCGGTGAAGCAGGGACTTGTCGGGAGCACCCAGGGCGCTGGAAGGAGCAAGGAAATCGCCATCCTTCTTGAGGGCAACAGTCTGAGAAGCAGCCTCTGCAGAAAGAGCACCGTTGTCCTCGCCGTACTCAACATCGACGAAATCAACCTTCATGCGGCGCTGGGTCTTGACACCAATGACAAGGGGAGAACCCTTTCGGGCAGCAATGACCTCATGGGGGTAGTGGACAGACTTGATAAGCAGTCCATAGGCACCCTCGAGCTCCTGGATAACAGCCTTGATGAGATCGGTGAAACCAATCTGGGGGTGCTGGTCGTAGATGTACTTGGCCAGCTTGGCAATGCACTCGGTATCCGTCTCGGTCTCAAACTTGAAGCCCTTGCTGGAGAGCAGGGTCTTGAGCTCCTTGTAGTTGGTGATGATGCCGTTGTGGACAACAACGAACTCGGAGTTGGGGTCGGAGCTGTTGAGAGTCAGTTTCTGGCCCAGATTTTCCGTTGTACAGATGAGGGGGGACAAACCGGTGAGGGTGGCAGTTGAGGGTGGAGGGGGGACCGTGGGTAGCCCATCGGGTGTGGGCAATACCCTCGTGTGAGTCGAAAATCTTGGTCAGGTCCAAGGTAGACTCATCTATGAGCTTCCTTAGCTTGGCGACCTTGCCGACCTCCTTGAAGGCCAAAACCTCCTTCTTCTTGTCGCCATCAATGGCCAGACCGGCGGAGTCGTATCCTCTGTACTCGAGACGGGAGAGGCCGTTGAGCAGGGTATCGAGAATGAACTTGCGGTCCTTCTCCACCAGGTAGTTGACGTATCCGAAAATACCACTATATTGAAAGAAAAAAACAAGCAAACCAGCGTCAGTCGCAATTCAATTGCCAATTGGGCTCCCATTTCTCGTCATCAGGGGGCCATGGTGGCACTGATGGCGAGAGTGCGAATGCGGGGCGGGGCGGTGAATGGTGGGATGAAGAAGCTTACCACATGTTTGCTGTTGATAGCTTTGTGTCGGATGGAACAAGGAACAAGAAAATAAAAGTCGAGAGAAAAAACGAGAGTGGTGTGAGACGAGAGATGGAAGGGGAAAAGAGAAGAGTAGAGCGGGCTCGTCTGAATATAAAGTACGCGATAAACGGTGGTTTATAGATAAGGTAGGAATGCGTCAAGGGGAGTTAAAGGGGGGGAAGGTTTCGTGTAAAAGGAGGGGAGGCGCGGACAGGTGAATGCAGAGCACCAGAAGGAGGGAAGTATTCGTCTATATGTACTTTGTCATCAGTGACTTGCGAGCTAGACCTAGAGGCTTTGAGCATAACAAACGTGCTCCCTTGGCAGGAAAAGGAGCGCTGGCCAGAAGCGCAGCGGAGCGAGGCTTGGGGCTCAGCTTAATGTGGAGAGGAGGAGGGTCCACGGTGGGCTGGGTTGGACAGCCAGCATTAGCACGGCGGATGGAGCACCGAGTACGAGGGAGCGGCGTGTACCGCACATGCTGGTGGACGCAGCTCCCCAAGCTGCGTACAGCCCATGTACCGGCTACCCAGGCGCGCATCTGATCAGATGGGCGGCCGGAGGGGGGATGGATGACGGAGATGATGGGCGCTCGGGGTGGCTGCTTGCTGCCCCTCCAACCCTCCATGCTGGACTGAAGCTGACCCGGGCTGCCTGTCCCTGTTTACACCACACGGGCTTGTCTCTGTACGAGCATCAACAATCAACAATCGGTTTGGCCTCGTACCTGCATAGCACCATGGCAGGGTGAATTGATGGCCAAGGCCGTGGTGGCGTCGGCTTGCTTTCCTTTTGCGTGGCGATATCGTTCACTCTCGTTGCTGATCTGATCTGTGCTCCTCGTACAACTCGACTAGCTCCTGTTTCGACCCCAGCATCGCCACGAGCCTGTCTTCTTGGTAGTTGGCACGGCCCTTGAACACAAACAACAAGCATACGTGTATGTAAATCCATACCTACGTGAAAGACGCTTGCTTGGATATACAATGGATTTACAGTAGGGTCACCAGCCATTCACACAAGTGCATCGTGTTTGTCTAGGCACTATGAGGCCTTGTCATACTCGATTGCCAAAAGCGGCCCAAAGACTCGAGCTCGTCCCACCTTGTCCATCCTGGTTGATGCCCAGAGGGCGTGAGATGGATGGATGCGGATGATTGAGTAATCCAGGCCCAAAAAGAACAAGCTGTCATTGAAAAGCAGCTCATACAGATGCCACTCACGGGCATCTCTCTCGCCTAGGCTGGCAAACTGCGCGTTGCTTGTGTGCAGCCCAGCAGTTTGACTGGATGCTTTGGCTCGTGGCGGGGTTATGGTGCCGGCCCCTGTTCTGTACATGCAGCTCAACAAGGCTGCCTCGTGACGGTCTGCTCTCTTGATGGCCTTGGGCATTGGGCACACATGCTTCTTGTTGAAGGACATCACCCCGATCTGAAAGGATGCCGGCGATGGGTACAAACAGGCACCGCGGTGGCCCAGACGGCCCCTCTACGGGAGGTACTGAGTCTGCATGTACATCAACAATAACGGAGGCGTCGATGGCGGGGCTCTCTCGCTAGCCTATCTCAGGGGCCGGAACGGTAGAGATTCCTCGACTCCATCTCGGCTGCGACTCTACAACTGCCTGTTTGCCAACCTCTCGTCATCGTGCCGAGGGGCCAGCCTGACGCAAAGCTCCAGCCCGACGAGATGCCGCAACGCAGAGCGCGCAGTCAATTGAGTGTCTCAATCAATGAATGCCGGCCACACAGCCCAGGGCTAGCACTCGCCGCTAGCATCTCTCGCCGTCCCTTGTAGGGCGTATCACGTCCCTCTCCGAACGGTTAGATCAAGGGGAAAAAGGAGCCTCGCGCGGCGTCCACCAGCGACTCACCACCATCTCACCGTCCGCTCCAGCCCGACCCTCAATCCAGCCAATGGCCGCGCCCGAGTCGTGCCGCCTGGTGCTAAAAACGTCTTACACAACAAAAAAAAAAAAGGATCCATAGCCAGCTCCGTCCAAAGTCCGTTCTACAACCTACTGACAGCGACAAAGACGCTCTTACACAGTACCTATTACTCCGACCAGTTTTTTGTGTGTGTCTTTCTGTGTAGTGGCACATGTAAGCTGCCAAACTAGCACAACAGCCGCAGGCCCCATCCCTGACACAAGTTTCACCATGAAAAACTCTGAAAAAGATGTACGGCACAAGAAGAAAGAAAGAAAATCGCCGCTGCCGCACCAACAACTTCAGTGTCACCCTACAGAGACGTCATAAGTTCGTATTCCGGCCCCCGGTAACGAACTTCCGTACGTCCATCCATTGGAACTATTTTTTCAGTTTGGCGACCCCCTTCCACTAAAACCCTCCCCCCTGTCGGTTTTCCTGCCGGTACTGTGCCAAGTGCCTAGAACCTCCGGCACCTTAATTTTTCTGGAATGTCTTTGTGTGCTGAAAATAGCCCCATCCCGGCTCGTTGGTGAAATTACAGCCTCGTATGTGTGCATGTACTTCACAGGTATTTTCCGTTTCTGCCATGATAACCGCTCTCGCTTCGGATGAGAATAAGAACCTAAGATAAGGACAACACCAAAAAAAGACAATAGATGGGTAGGCAGTAGCTCCATGCGCGCACCCCCATGCCCAGTTCATGCAAAAAATAAGAATAATCAATGGGCATCCTGGCTTGGCGTTCGCCTCCTCCGAGGGAGATCTAGATTTCGCGCCTTGGGCCTCAGAGGAGGAAAGCTCCCTTTTTTCTTCTTCACAGCCTCATCCGGTTTTTGCCCCTAGTAGCGCTTTAGTCGACGGTGGCTTGTTAGATAGCTTGTTTCCAAGAATAGCATCAGCCTCTGTGCGCTGCGCTGAGATATGGAGTCATGTTACTGCAGACAATTTTCTGCAATGACGATTCAGCGAAGATAAGAGATGACTATGAAATTAAAAAGAAAAAAAACAAGAAATGACTTCTTGTGTCTATTTTCTTCTAGATTCGTCATTAATAAAAGAAGCTAGTAATCAGCACAGCAATGCCACACAGACTACTCGTTTGTTCCCCCATCTCTTCGTACATTAGTTCGGTTGTCTCCGCTTGAAAGCACCCTGCTGATCAACTCATCAACACCTGCGGCCCGAGCCAGAACCATGTCGATAAAGGGGAGAGGGAAAAGAGACGAGGAGTGAGAAACATGCTCTGTGGCCTGCCCCTCATTGGCAGCTTATCCCTGGCCACATCCTCCGCTTCCTTTACTCAATAATAGCAGTTTGCGGACGTAGCTGCAATGCCCATCTGACAATCGGTATCCAAACCTGCCAGTCAGCCTTGCTCCTTCGTCCACTAAGAGAGCCGTGATGGCGTCTCACCTGACATGTGCTCTGCTAGCCATGCAGCTACCCACAGCGGGAGAGCACTTTAATTGCCTTGGGACAGACAACAACGCCCATGGCAAAATGCCATCCCTTGTAGCATTCGTTACCCTTGTAGGTGCTGTAAATATCTTAGTAGTATCCACAAGTATGTCAGTCTTACACAGCAACACCATATCGTATCATTCGAATAATGGAATCATAACCATCACCGCCAAAGAAAAAAAAAAAACCTCCCCCTTTTAAGAGGCTGAGCTTTGATGCTGATGTCTGTTTCCCTGTCGCGGATGCGTTATCATTTCTATGCCAAGAGCTCACTCAGCATTTGGCATCTACACTGCCTTTCTTTAATTATACAGCTTCAAAAAAAATAGTACCCATCATCAGTTTCCTTTTCGCTGACGCCAGAAACATTTCCCAAAAGCCATCTGTATCAAGAGCTATTTACAGCTTTTGATACTCTAGCTTGCCTTCCAACTTCTTCGACTCCATCACCTTGCGCACCGCCTTGTTGAAGTCGTCTTGATTGACCGAATCCCGGTAGTCTTTGATCGCAAATAGACCACTGTAATTCAAATAGTTAGCAACGTAAAGAAAATGACCTTGCAACAGTCGTCTTAAAGGGGGGGGGGGGGGGTTTAAAAACTCACGCTTCAGTGACAACGTTTCGCAAATCGGCTCCGTTCAGACCGTCGCTCATCTTGACGACGCTCTCAAAGTCAATATCGCCATCAATGACGACAGACGAGGCATGAATCTTGAGAATCTCCAGTCGTCCGACCTCATTGGGCAGAGGAATCTCAATCTTTCGGTCCAGACGACCAGCACGTAGCAGCGCAGGGTCCAGAGTATCCGGTCTGTTTGTAGCCATGATGATCTTTGTCTTGCCCAAGTAGTCGAAACCGTCTAGCTGGTTGAGCAGCTCCATGAGTGTTCTCTGAATTTCACGGTCGGCACTGGTACCCTCAGAAAATCGTCGTCCTCCGATGGCATCGATTTCGTCCATGAAGATGATACAAGGTTCGTGCTCCTTGGCGTAGCCAAACATTTCTCGAATCAACCTTGCAGACTCTCCGATGTATTTGTCGACAATGGCGGATGAGACAACTGCATTGGATTATTATCATAGTTCGACCAATCCAACAGCTTGGGTCTTGTCGATTGAATATCACTCACCCTTCAAGAAATTTGTTTCCAAACTGCTTGCAACTGCTCTGGCTAGGAGGGTTTTGCCTGTTCCGGGAGGGCCGTAGAGTAGGACACCTTTGGGCGGCTTGATGCCGACTCTGAGGAAGAGCTCCGGGTTCTTCAGGGGAAGCTCAATCACCTCTCTCAGCTCTCGGATCTGGTCGTTCAATCCACCGATTCCAGCAAAGCTGACCTGGCCAGGGTCCTCCAGCGACATGTTGTAAACTAGCGGGTCGACTTCTCGCGGGAGCATACGCATGATGGTTAATGTCGTCATATCGAGTGCGACACGCGTGCCTTGCTTGAGCTTCGCCTTATCAACCTTGGATCTGCAGCCGACAACATAACGGGGGCCCGACGATGCTTTGACGATAACTGCAAGAACTCAAAGTTAGCATCACTCTTCCCAGATGGCAGGATAGCTTCCCCATGCCGAGCGTCATAGGTGGGTAGACAGGCGCCATACATCTCTCATCATCCAGCTGCTTCAGGACTTCACCAATAATCTGTCCCACACTTTGCAGCGCCTTGATGTTCTCCTCTGTCCGGTCGTACTCTTTCTGCAAGTCCTTGATCTCTAATCGGAGGTTCTTGAGCTTTGCTTCCCATTCGCGGGATTCGATGAGCTTCGCCCGGTAGGCGTTGAGGGCGACCTGGCGCTCGTCTTCCGCGGACATGATTGTTGGCGGAAATCAGAAGCGGGAAATAGTTGATTCAGGAGCCTTCTATTCCGGGATATGTAGTCTCAATTCTGGGTTTCTTGGTGTCGTTGTTAGGGAGCTTGGTTGGAGTTGCATGCGCTGGATGGGGACCTAACAGTGGCTGCTCTTTGAAATCGTGGAGGCTTACCTCACTCATTGGAGCCTTGAGCTAATCCCTGCCGCCGCTGGTCGGCAGAAGATCGGCGATACTCTTCCGCTTGGCTCGGCGCACCGTGGGCAACACGTATACGCAACAAAATAGCTACCGATTCAGTTTATGTGCATCAAATGTGAATTTCTGGACAAGTTTTGCTTTTGTATTTCGTTATTCATCTTTCCTAATATTTGAATTCCTTGCTCAAGTCAAGCTTCTATATGTGATTCGCATCTACCTAAGCTGCTAGGCTAGGCACCTCATAGCGCATAGTGCCTTAGTACATGCGTTTTGTACCCCGCGAGTCCGCGCAATAGAAACAGAAGAGCTCATATATTGCGTTGCTGCTCCAATTGATCGTCCGTTCAAGGTAATAGTTACAGGCACGCAAGTTGTAAATGCGAAACTTCCTTTATATACATATCCCATGCGTCAGATCCTTATAGATACCTCCTATGCCTCCAAAACCTGTTCCTGGGATAGATGTACAGGGATGCTTCGTTGCCCCGCTACGCCAGATTTTCTTGAAACCGATAAAGGCCATTAAACCCATTGCTGTTCTGGCTTGCTTCCAACAAGTGTCTTTAGCCGGCAAGTAGACCTCTGGTGGGTTGGCGAGATGGATGGGATGGGATTGGATGGGATTGGATCGTTCCCTAGTAGCGCCATTGGCGTGGCACAGGATGGTATGATCAACCATATATACAAATCGGCTGGGAGAAGAGACAGTCCCCGATTCGGGTCTTGCCGCAAGGCGGTCATCAGTTCTTCTCGCTGTTTTCAGCCGCATCATCTTGCGCCTCGGTCTTTGGCTCTCCCTCCGCGTCGAATCCGAGGGCATCCAATTCCCGGATGAGCTCGTTGATCTTGATGACCTTTGCAATCTGCTCAGGCAACAGCCCCTCGCCGCCATCCTTCTTCTGCTTGAGCTCCTTGGCTTGCTTCAGCTTCTTCTTAAGACTCCTAGCTTTCTTTTCGCGCTCGATTTCAGGATCAACCTCTTCTGTCTTGGATTCGGCAGCATCTTCCGTAGTCGCGGCTGGAGTATCAGCCTTGGTGTCGCCGTCAGCCTTGGCCTTCTTCCGAGCCTCTCGCCGTTTTGCATTCTTATTGCTTGCAGCGGAGCCCTGCTCTGGCTTCTCATCTTGCAACCCAGCGGCGCCGGGTATGCCGACTCGCTTTCCTCGCTCACGAAAGGCCTCTGCTGTTCGGTTCTTGTAGACTTGGACATCTTCGGGTGGCTGGTAGCCGGGCCGGATCTTGATGGCCTTTCGCGTGCTCCCGTCAGCTCGAACGGACTCGGGAATGTGACGCTCTCCGCTGGTCTCGTCTGTGGTGATGCCGGAGTTTGTTGATGAAGATGGAGCCATGATTGCGGCTGTATAAAAGGTGCCGGTGGTGTCCTGAGGGTGATGCGGCTTGAAAGCAGGGAGGTTGACTCAATCCGCACTGGCTCAATGGTACCCAATCAAAGCTTGTAGAGCTAAAAGGCTCCGATGCACGAGCTACTTGCAGCAACGAGGCTTCCAATGATACCGTGACCTGAGAGTCAAGTGCAAGACGATCTTCAGCTCGAGGTTTGATAGCGGTACAGCAGCACTGGATATTCTCAAGGTAGCACAAAATCAGGTATTTCGTTTGCAAGAAACAGCTGGATATGGCTGGACAGGCACCGAGGCCTGGACTAGCATCGGCTGGGCGCAAGAAAGCAACGGCTCGAAAGCCACATCCCCACCATCTTTATCGCGATTGGCTGGCCCTACGACAACGCTTCTGACATGCCCAACGACTCGCCGCGAGTATCATGCAGGGCATTTACATCTATCATATAGAATTAGACGTCAATTATGGACAATTACATGACTGGCACCGGATCCGTATTACTCTACAATATAAGTATAAAAAGAACCTCAAAAATGTAGGGGAAAATTATCGTTCAGGGAGCTTGAGCTATCTTACTCAAGATTAAGAAACACGACTAGAGTATATCGAATTGCCAAAAAAATATTGAGGAGAATTTACTTTTGTATCATCGTATAGTCATTTGAAGGAAATTATCTTCATCAGCATAAAAAGCTCTCTCTATTCTATACCCATTCACAAGACCAGCGTGCCTCATACCACCTGTCCTTTCGTCTGCTTAATATTGATGACCTTGATGTCTCGCCACATCAAGACAGACACCACGCCAATAACCCACACTGCAGTTCCCGCAATCATCAAACGTTGTTGGACATCTCCGTAGGCATGCTGAATTGCAGTACGCTCCGGTGATCCGACTGGAAACGACAATTGCGTCGGGAGGGACTCATAGATGAGGAGTAAATTCTCTTGGTCGACAGTAGGTAGGTACTCAGCGAGCTTCCCCGGCATGGTGCCCTGCCAAATGGCGGCGGAGATGGTCAAACCAATGGCAGATCCGATATTCGAAAACAAACCCAGCACAGCCAGACTGATGGCAAAGTATTGCTGCTCTGAAACGGCAGCCATAATGGCAATCTCGTCACAGATGACTAAAACTCCTTCGGCAAAGGAGATGAAGATCATGCACATGACAATGTAGCCAACGTTCTGATCAGGCTGGCGGAAGTAGATTAATAGACCCATGCCGAGAACTGTCAGAGGAATACCAAAGTAGAGCGTAACAGGCTTGAAGCGGCCTGTATAGCTGATGAAGGCGCCAGTGCCGATAGCAAATATGACACCGCCAACTGTATAAGTTTGGATGACGTAGCTGGCATTGGTAATGCTCAAGTCATTGACCACTTGCAGGAATGAGCTGAAATAGCTAGCCCAGCAAAAGTAGCTGAGGAATAGCACAAACGAGAGAATGCAGGAGCCGAGGACGGTACGGTCTTGGAGATTAGACCACGGCAGAAATGAAACCGGCGCAAAGTACTTCTCCCATACAACAAAAAGAATGATGAGGACGATTCCGACGATCAGAAAGCTGAGAATCAGAGCAGACCTCCATCCCTTCGCTTCATTGGTGTAGAGGTTGAATGGAAGCAGGAAGAAAGCAACGCCAGCAGAGAGCAGAAGGAGGCCAACGGCATCGAACTCGCGGCAGTAGTAGATAAAGGACTGCCAGGGTGTACGTCCACTTTGACGCTTCGCAATGAGGCCGAGCTTTTTGGCCTTGGAGAACTGCCACATGAACAATCCAGAGAGAGGAAGAGTGACGGCTGGGACGAGGATCGAAAACATTCCAAATGCCCAGCGCCAGCCGGCTCCGTTTAGGAAGGCTGTAGAAATTGGTCCACTAAGCCAACATGTGATCAGGTTTGGCGAACTGACAAACGCCTGCATCAGGCCTCGGTGGCGCAGTGACGATGTATCAGCGACGAACACGCTCAAGCTGTATCCAATGCCGTTGATGCCGACAGTGTAAAAGACTTGAGAGGCAGCGTAGGCCTCGACGTTGTTGCAGGCAGCCGACATGATCAGGCCAATGGTGCAGAGCACAATACAGAGGAGATATCCTTGGGAGCGACCAAAAATATCGAGGACCTTTGCAATACTGAGATTGGTGACGCCTCCGATGACGGCGCTCAGAATACCCGTGGTTGGCGTGAGCGAGTGCTCAGCAAACGCAGATGTAACATAGGGAAGAAGAGCACCAGTGACGCCCGTCACCAGTCCCTGGATGAAGTAGGTGATCCATATCAGGGCATAGGCGACGATGAGCCAGGTCTTCGACCATGTAATGGTAACAGCTTCAATGTCTTGGACACCGGGTTGATATGTCGTGTTGATAATGCTTGATTGCTGGTCATCGTCGGAGCTTTTGACCTCGTGAACAACGTTTTCGGCTTCGCTGTTGTATTTTGCCTCTGCCTCAATAGGCGAATCGACGGGCGGTGCGCCAGCCATTTTGTTGTTTGTTTGTTTGTTGGATGTTGTAGACTGAAAGGAGATGGAGATGGGAGAAGCTGGATCATGTATAAATAAACATATAGAACCGCAAACGGAGGGAAGGTGCGGCGGGAGGGTTCAGAGGCAGTGCATACTGCCCAAACACGGAATCGAGAGTTTGCTGGGGGGAAAACAGAATGCAGAGTAACACGGACTGTTAGACCTGTATTTATTAATATTTTTGCCATTTATATACACTATTTTGATGTTTGTCAAGCCGGTATAGGGTATTTTATTGTAGTGATCATTTCAATAGGCACATAAACTTGCTCAGCTGTTGTTAGTCCAGAAATGGCATTTGTGCTCCCGTGCAGGAACAAAACTTGCTCATATGTGCTCATCCAACTGTCAAACTAAATAAATGCAGCACAAATTCCAATCTGATTGGTAAACTATTTATATTAAAAGATCTGTCAAGAGCTCACTCTATTTGCATCCAAAATTATTATATCAAGCTATTGATCCAACATTATATTCGCATTGACTGTCATTCACGACTGACTTTTTCGACCCCCCCGGCTGATGATCAGCTCATCACCGCATCATGCCAAAACTTAAACATGCCGAGTCTCTGTTGATTCAATATCCTTCTGTGATATACACTCTTGATACGGATGGCTGGAGATTCTCGCGCTCGCTGCTTTCCTTCTCGCGGATTATTGAGTGCTGATCTCTGCTTGCAGACTCTCTGCTATTACAGTTCGTGAGGTGACAAAAGAAATTATTTGAACTGAGGGTATCTGTAAACAAAATTGATGAAAACGGGGCCTGAAAAGCCAGCGGTAAGCGTTGCGTTACCGTACACCAGTCTCAGAGTTCGGCATCAAGCCCAGGCTAGGCATTTGCGACATCCGGTTTGCCATCTACATGTACTTGAGATTTGCGGTCTGCTGCTCGCTTTGCGATCGCCACTCGCGCTCGATCTCCTCGCGATGTTTGGGGACCATGTCCCAGCGCGTGGAAAAGATGGTATCGCAGAGTCCCGGGCTGCCAAAGCCATCAGAGAACGACACTTGGCCCCTCGAGTGGTGCTCGTGGTGGGCACGAGTGCTGACTATGTCGGCTATCACAGAGGCGAGGAATTTCCAATACCATGCATCTCCTTTCTCCTGTGGAACGTTCTGGAATGCCAAAGCAAGATCGTAGCCTGAGTGCTCGTAGATGCCACCAAAAGCGCCAGAAGCAACCACCAGCGAGTGGAAACGCAGGTCAGCACCACCGCCACCAACAAGCGCCAGCGGTACTAGGTAGGGCAGAACAATCTCGAGGAAAAAATCAGGAGCCGACATGTAACACGCGCTGATTCCTTTGGCGGCCGTCGTCGAATGGTGGACTGAGTGGCGCAGCATACGCATCAGCTTCAAGTTTGGCTGGTGCAACAAGTATCTATGCGTGATGTACTGGACAACATCATGTCCAATGGCGAGAACCGGCAGTGATAGAAGCGCACGCCCTGTCGAGATGTAGCCCTTGTGCGTGAAGCAAAGTCCAGCCCACTCGCAAAACGCCATGCAAGGCAGAAGGACGAGACATTGGTTCAAGAGGACTTTGGGAAGCAATCGTTTATACGGCCTGGTGTCTGTCTCTCGGGCTCTGACTTTCCTGAGAGCGTTTGTATTGTCCAAATACTCAAACCCTAGTCCGACCACGTGGAACGCAATCTGTTGGATTGCCCATACTTTGACAGACAAGGGCAGCCGGGCCAAGAGCGAGAAGAGCATCGTAAATAGTGGGTCAAAGATGACGAGCTCGCCTCGATCAAACTGTATAAGAGAAAAGATTTGCCAGAGATTATTTATATAAGACGAACAAAGACCACCGGACTTGAACACTCGTTATGAATGAAATTGTCACCTCATGGCATATAAACAGTTTGGAACACAATCTAGAGATATTTCCAAAGTTCAAGAGATTTGTGAGCGTCACACCACATTATATATACTGCATGAACATGTCGCATGATTTGCGTTACATCCGATGAATCCGGAGATATCACATTGAGCAATTTCTTACTCGCCAAGTCTCTATCAAGCAACTTGAAGGATCCTCGTCTCCTGGTATATTTCCGCGTTGGACATTCGGTACTTTAAGTGGAGACAACGAGGAAATACGCGCGGTAGCTTCGTGTAAGTTCTTGGCAAGAACTTTACCCAGACTTGATGAATAAAGAATTATTATTATTTTAATTTTTAGATTATGAGCTCATCTCATCAAAAGCTGGTCTGTTTCTGATTGCTAAGTTGACTATATGTAGCTGTTGTGAAAGATACTTCAATCTTCCGTACGCTTTAGTTGAGCTGATACAAGTATCTACCGGCACTATACTTTCATGCATCGTAACAAGCGTGAATCGCTCCATAAAAAACTATGACAACATGCGTTTCTTGGCGCTCGCTAACTCCAGCTGTTGAGATACTACCTATTATCACCTCAGGGAACGGTACCCGAGATATGTCACGCCGAATACATATATGTGGAGAAGGGTGACCAATACGCCTTTTCTCTGCATCCTACTTTCGTGGGTCGGCGATTGGAGCGGGTGAAGCCACCACATGGCGATATGTTGACGACTTCGCATTACGACTTCAGCTCTCCAGGACGCGTATCATTGAAAATCCGGGCGGTGTACAATTAAGAGTGTGATGATATATGGAGGAAGTGAGTGCTTTCAACGAACATAAGAAACGCCTCGTTCATAGGATAACTTGACCACAAGATTCAATTTGGTGGTCTCATGGGACGGCTTCAAGGAGGGCCGAATAGCCGCCGGACAAAGTACTGTAGGCAGACCAAAATTGGCCAGCTGCATTGGGAGAAGATGCAATTTTTTTTTTCAAAGCCTCGTACTCATTGGGCACTTTGAGTTTATCCACATTGAAAAAAAAGTATACTCGACATCGGACTTAGCGGGCACTGCAGGATTTCGGCATGGCGAATAGCCGCTTGAAAATAGCTGCCTGAACAGTGTCCAGTTTCAAATTTGCTAGTTATGGCGAGAGAAGATCTACGTTTTCCGAATAAAGCCCATGGATTATCAAGAGATTTGAGTAAATCAAATTTGGAAAAAAAATAAAAAATTGTACTCGAAATCGGAGCTTCCGTGTGCTAAAAGGTGAAACATCACCATTGCTACTACATCAGGGGTTGGCACTGGTGTGAAGATAATTTCATCCAAAGCCAAACAGAGGCGAGGAAGGCATGCCCAAATGCTCTCCAGTTTAATTTCAAGTAAGGAGAGTATTAAAATCTGACCATTTCAGATTTTTGATAAAGCTACCCCTTTTTGTACGGCTATCATTGCCACAGCATTGATATTCTACAACTCAGGAGACATGGAAACTGTGCCATAACATGGCTGATCTTTTCATCTCAAGATTATGATGTTTACATGAGCAGAAATGGCTCTTACTGGTAGTTTTGATAACAAAATGGAACAGCAAGCTCAACATGGAGGGAAAGTAACGGTTGAGAATTATCACAAGTACTGGCGCGGAAAAGGAAACATGAAAAGAGAAAAAGTTTTTACCTTCTTTTCTCTGTCATTTGCTTGATTCTTGTGTAGATTTTGAAATTGCTCGAAATAGACAGATCATTTTGATATATGTGACTCTCTAAACAGGGCAATAATCTTTGAAATTGCCCCCATCATGACTTCCTCTCTGCTCAGACCTCTTCAGGCCTTTGAATCACCAACTATATGCATGCACCTCCAGTTCAAACTGAGCATCTCCTCGCCTCGCTGCTGCCGTCACCAACGCCCTCGTATCATCGCCCATTCCCTCCGGTCCACACGTCACCACTCCGATCCGCCGCCACCCAGCTTGCGCGTCTTCGGCGAACAACTCCGTGATATCCAAACGGTGGCCGATCCTCACCTCCTTTTCGACGACACGGTCTAGAACTTTGCTTACTGACTCGACTAGACACGCAGCGTATTCATTTACGCTCCACGCTAGCTTCACATTCGGATGGCTGTCTATCCAAGGTAGGATGGCCGTGATGCCAATTCCACCGCAGATAAGCAACACGCGGTCACATTGTAAGATTGCAGTACTCGGGTTTCCTGGATAAGGCCCGTCGAGCAACGCCAAGATGTTGGTGCCGACGGTCAATTTCTTGGTGAAGCCCTTTGATTTGCGGATGAAGAGTGTGATGCCCGCTGTAGGCTGATTGCCCGCTGTGGTGGCAGCTTTCTTGGTTGTTATTTGCTGGCTAATCACACCCTTCTCAGCGTCATTTCGGGTACCAGAACCAAGCGAGGAGCTGGATTCTTTGCTCGGTACCGGATCGGCGACGTTACAGCGTTCCAGCATGGCCGTTGGGAGCACGGAAAAGGGGTGGTTCTCCCACGGGCGTAGTGGCTGCAACGTCGGGAAGAAAGCATACACGACCTTGCCCGGCTGAAACCCCCAGCAGATGCCCTCGATGTCTACACGCATGATATCGCCGCCAATATCGGTGATTTGTGCACGCTGGATGCCATTTTTCAAAACACGAAGGATACGAAAGAGACGGTCGAGGCCCCAAACACCAAAGGCGACGTACAGCCACTGCTCATAGCCCGACATATTCATATAAAGATAGAAGAGATGATACCACGTGCCGGCAAAGACGAAGACGGCCAGCACGATGTGTGACAGCAAGAAGAACTCGCATGAATGACGGCGCACCCACGGAGTTGCGGTGATTAGCATAGCACTCATAGCGACAGTTCCCACGCATCCCCAAACCCACCATGCCTCGCCCAGGCTAGAATCATAGTTGCCGTCTTTACATAGTAGACGAGAGAGAGGACTGAGTGGATGATGACAAGCAAGACGAATATTCGGGCCACCCAGCGATGAAGAAGAATGTACGTCCCATGAGACCAGTTGGTCAGCCACAGCAGAGTGTTGTTTCTGGCGGCGAATAGAAGAACAACGGGCAGCAGGGCGAGAGAGTAGCAGCCGGTGCGCCATACAACATATGCCATGAGCTCGACGCTCTGGCCTGGGTACCACAGGTTCGGCTGATACGTCTCATAGTGCACTGCCATGAACACAACGGTGAGGATGGCCATTGCAGCCACGTACAATGCTTGGCCTCTTGTCAGGGCAGTTCCGCCGAGATAGGGGAGCGGCCGGACTTGATACGACCCGATGGTGCTGGGCCAGATGATATAGGGCTTGAGCTTGTGGATGAGAGGGTTCACAAACGGAAGATAGCCTAGCCAAGTGGCGAGCAGCGGGATGCCAACGGCCACCATAAGGAGGACAAGCCTATCAAGACGGTAACATATATGTGAGCATCATCCTACAAGACAAGGTTGGCAAAGAGGAACGAAACATGATCTCATACCCGTATTTCTCATGTAGGAACTCCTCACGGTCCACCATGAACAGCGTGCCGTATTGATTCCGGTAACTGGTCTCGTTGGAAAGCACAGTCGATGTCAAATTATCTTTGGCCGTAAGGACGTGAGTTGGTGCAGCTGTGACGTTCATCAAAGCCTCCTGATAGGACCACTTGGGCGGCTCAAAGGCACCACCTGACCCCGTGCTCTTGGCCGCCCACCAGGTCTCGATGATGCCCATGTCATGATTGCAGTGGGTGCTGATGCAGTACGCCAGCGAGGAGAGGAACGGCATGTTGCTCCCTCGACACGCAGGCGTGGCCGAGGCTGAGTCGCTGTCCATCATGCCGCCGGGGATGTAGCCATCGAAGGAACATGACAAGAAATTGCTTCCCAACGCCCGGTTGCACGCCGTGGCACAATAGGGGAAATATCCGATGGACTGAGCGCCAAAGCCCTGCAGCGCAGTGGCGGGTGCGAATACACTCGCCACCACCAGAACCGTGGATGCCAGCTTCATGATAAGATTATTCTGCTGATATAAGGCACAGGCAACTGACTAAACTAGATGCTTGGGCGTCTTCTTCGATGAAGTCGACGATCAGGGCATGTTGAGCTACTTGTACGACAAAAGGCGCCTAATGCTGAGTTGTTGAGTTTTCTTGCGACCCAGACGAAAGAGACGATCGATACATGTCATTTAGACGCGGGGAGTTCTAGATTGCGACGATGAGAGGATTTGAGCACAATAGCCGCGACTAGCTAGCTATCTGCAGCCATTGGCATTATATATGGACAGCCTTGCGACATGGTCATACAGCTATCGGGCTGTTGGAGATGTTGTATGATAAGAGCTACTGTCACTGCATCATCATGTTATAGAGGTGGCAGCCGTTGGACAAGAGAGCTTGACAGATTGGCTGTTCGAGACCAACCGTTGGCTGGAGAAATTTGTCTTCCAGGCTGCAATTTGGGTTTCCCACAGCCGTTCGCAAATTCGATGACTGCTTCCGTGGGTATCTTTACCGGATAGTTTCTCACCTGTTCTCTCCTGAAGACTGCACTAGTCCGGGGGTCGATTCACGTCAGACCACCATTAGGCCGTGGGCCTGATCATGTTAGTACACCGAGGCGTAGTCGCGTTCTATCAATCGAGGAAAGCTGCATTGTTGTTGGAGGTTGACTATCGAAGCGGGTCTTTTGGATGCTGCTCCAAGTCCAGCTCTGCCAAGCCTGACGAACTATATGGATATAGTGTTAGCTTCTAGGCAATCGAGCATCCTTGCCTGCATTCCACATAGCCTTCAGGGCCCCCGTGGCTTTGCAGAATGGCTAAAGGCCATTGGACGAATGCATGTATATATGGATTCGCGCCAGTTGCTAGAACGCCCCAACGCCATTAAAACAGCGTTGTCTTGAAATGTGCGCATTTCTGCTCACACCCCCTCGCACGGGTAAAGAGGGTTGAAGATAAAAACCAAAGTATTGACTCCTACAGCTGTTAGCATGTATATCCCAAAATCAGTGATAACTGTAATAGTGGCGAAAAAGGTGACTTTATCAATATAATAATTCTCATAGCTTGTAAATGATCGGGTATCTACCCTAGTATAGAATAATTCGGCAGGTGTAGGTCCAATAACTCGCCATCTCCCTACACAGCATTCACTTGGTAGAGTAAAACGAAGGTTTCTCTACAAGCAGCGAATTGGAAGCAATTCGAGGTGATTTTCCAACCACCCGCTCATTTATAGTTGGCGTTCCGAATTCCCATGGCCCATTTTATCACTTCCATCTTGTGCTTCAACGCAGTTGGGACAGGCTCTCCCAGGTCTCGCAAGAGGGCATCGAATTGGGACCCTAGAATTTCTTAGCTGGAATATTCTGCCTTGTTTCGAATAAGTAACTTGTGAAGACGTACCCCTGTAACACTCCAGCTCCCCCAAAGTGGCCGGGCAGCGGACGTCTTCGTTGGTTTCGGGATTTCGAAGCGGACAGAGAAACATCTCTTTACTTGTGACCGTGGTGTTTTGATTACGCGCGCGGGCATTATACTCTCTGTATGAAGGGGAGATTGAGGATACAGGTCAGCCGTGGAACATGGATCCCCATCTATGGTAGGTGTTGGACAACTTACGCAGCGTCTTGTTTGGCTCTAAGCATATTCAATTGAGTGCTGAGCTCCTCTACCCGGGCCTCTGTGGCCTCCATGTGTTTCTTTACGTTTCTCATTCGGTATTCCAGGTCTCTCTTCACCTCGTATATGCGGTCAAATATCTTCTTGACCTGAAGCTCCATTTTCTTCTCTATCTGGCCCAGCACCTCCCTGTATATCGCAGGATGCTCCGAACTATCTTCTGAGGGCGGGGATGATTCTTTGGGCGGTGGGTGCTTCTTAAATGGCTCTTTTCCGCTGAAAAAGAAGTCGCTTGGGCCGCGCATGGTGTCACAGATGCTGGTTTGATGGTCGAGTGCTAAAGAAAGTAAAGAATTCGAGTGCAAGGAGGATCAGCTAGCATCAATTGCATGATGTAGGTAAATGCTATCATCCTGCCTCATAGCCGTAACGTTTCCGTTTCGCCACGTCAGCCTCTCGCTTCTATCCTCAGATACTCGGTACAAGCGATGGACTTGTTCGATGCATAAAGCTAGCAAGTTCCACTTCTGTGGAAAATCAAGTATATATATATATAAAAAAAGGCATCAGATGATTGTTATTTTGCGCCTCCAAGACGTATTTCTGGAGCCTTTACTAAAAATACGCCTGATAAGAAAGTTTGAGCCAGCCATGAAGCCTCAAGTATACGCAGACGTGGGCATTGTAAATATTTGATCCATTCTCTGCTCCATTCTAGGTACCGTATAGTAGGACTGGCTTTGTAGATGCTCTTCATAATCGAGGCCCCTGACCAACTCATCTCGAGCTTTTTGTACTTTTATGATACCGGAAAACGCAATTTAGTCGTCATCTAGACAATCAACACGTGGAGAACACATAGAGATACATTATATTGCAAAGACTTGGCATTTGCCTCGCCCCAGGTTCGTAGACTCTGCTCGAATACATGTAGTTATCTCGTGGCTGCTAGTAGTGGATATATAAGTTTATCTACCAGTACTACCGGAAGTAGGCACCTACTTAGTATACTTTTACGCAGCATGTTTCCATACATGCATGTATTAATAGTCAGCCTAAGTATTGAGAAACTTTGGCTGCGATGATATAATCGATAAGTGTTTGGTACATATAAACTCAACAGTTATCTGTACATTGATCTCTCTCTGGACTTGCATACCTATTTCTAATAGACGCAACGCAACGCAGTACCACTTTGCCCAGCCATGGCGACCACACAACATCGAGCTCTTTACAGATGCGTTCGTTAGGGGGACGCTTGCCTAATACCCGGGAAGGTGAACCTTATTCTTGCATTGCCTATGTAGGTACTTGGCGAATCCTGAATGTGCAGATCGTTTTACCCTACATAGACTCGGAAGTATTACAACATATTTTCATCGTTCGCTGTTCTCAACTTCCCGAGCTCGTGAACAGACGAATGACTCGTTCGAAGAATCCAAGTGATGGTAAAAGCTCCTAATTTTCTGAAGGCGCTTCCTCGCTTTCTTCTCTGGGCGGACAGTTTCAGGCGCAAGAGCACGAGGCTCGTCGTTCTCGCTTTGGCTATGGCTTAGCAGCTCTGCGAAGCTGGGTCCACTTGAAGGCGAGTACAGCATATATGGAATATATGTAGACGTATACCAATCTAACTCAAGAATTGGCATGATCAAATCCCTAAGACGCAGTTTCTTGCCATGATGGGCTCCGAGACAGTTGTCCTGAGAAAGCCTGATAGGATTACATGCTTTGGAGGGAGTACTATTGCCAGTGTCTTGTACTTTGGGGGATACGTTCTTATTATGTCGCCTGCCATCGCCGCCATCGCTGCCATCGCTGGTATTTTGGTTGTGGTCGAGCTTGAATTCGTGGTCTTGGAGTGGTTTTAGGCCAGCCTGCTCGCTATTGGATGAGAGATCATGAGTATTATGGTAGCTTGGAGCTTTGAGACTGCTATTTCGAGCCAATTCATAGTTTATGCATTCGCCATCAACTGGGCTACTATTAGCATGTTGGATCAGACCACCATCGTCAACGCGGTCTCGGGATAGTTCAAGACGGATTTCCTTGGTGTATTGTGAGCTATGGCCAGTGTTTCGATCACCTTGAATTTGGAAAGTATTATCCGGGCGTAATTCAAGACGAGTGTACTCGTTGCGCAGCGAGCCATTTTCCATACCCTGAACTCGCCTGAGATGCTGGGAAGGAAGTAGAGCAGGATTGGATTTTGTGCGCCTGAGGCCAGCGGTACTGTTACTCACTATGGTAGCTGTCGATTTCTCCTTTTCATGGTGCTTTTGCAGGTCTGTCTTTGCTTGAGCTATAGGAAGGCTGGCCCGCTTTGTGCTGTTGAAGTATACATCGCGATCTTTCTCTTGCATTTCGCACTTTGGGCATAGAGTAGCGCGACATTCTAGCGTTTTGGTTCCATGACAGTGGCGTTTGTTGGATGCAGACTGGCCGGAGAAGGACGTTGATGAAGACTGTCGTTCTCGTTGCTTGTTGCAGCGAAGGATGCGGCGATACAAGTGGCCACAGTCATATTTGAAGATTTGCTCGCACATACTTGGCAAGGGCCTGGATGGTCAAATCAAAGACAGACATAATTCTAGAAGAGAAGAAAGCTCCAGGAGGGAGTTCAAAGAACTGGTGTATCGCCTATACGCTATTCATATAGCTACGTTAGTGAATGAGAGTCTGTCTGTTCAACGGAGATGAAAGTCTGTCAAATGCTTCCGTGAATACTACCGCCTCGAGGAAAGGCGCTCAATAAGAATGCCGAAGTGAATCAAAGACTTCATCCCAAAGTGCTGTAGAGTGATTCACTGCTGTGGGTCGTTTGCGGTCACAAGTTAGTCAGGCATTCCGGATACTTACACGGGGACGGTCTGGTGATGCAGGTGGCCGTGTTGAAGGCCTCGCAATGACGTGGACGAGTTTGCCTGAGGACCAGAGTTTCTGGTACTTGGGAGAGAACTCGGACATTTCATCTTCTCTAAAACTTACATCTTACAAAAACGCATATTACTACATCTAATATGGATCCATTCTGACAACTTGACGAACTTTACAAAGCATCATCGACTGCACGTCTTGCCGCCACGAAATCCCTTGCAGGTGTGCCATTTCGCATGATTTGACCCGCCGGCCTGACAGAAGCTTAAGACCATTCATGGTGACCAAGAATGATTATTGCAAGGTCTCCTGAGCTCCCCAACTGGATACCTTATCTACTACCAGCCTTGGTTGAGATGGCTCAATACCATGAGGCAGACGGAGTCTGTCTACCCTTCCAAATTCGTCCAAAAAGCGACGGAATAACCCTAAGCACTAGCTGGGCTTCCAACTGATTTGGGTGATATCTCTGGCAGAAATGACCTCCAATGGAAGGCGTTTTTAGGGGCAATAGAACAATGAAGTCCGAAGATAGCTTCTTGGGTGGAGAAAACGAGATACGGAACCCCTTCGCCCATCAACATGGCCAATGGACAATATGGTCAATCGATCAAGGGTGCTATCTATGCCCAGGAATGATGGGGTACTAGTTTCTCAAGCACTGAAACGAAAAACGAGCGACGGAATTACATGCTCTGGTTTCACTAGAAGAAGCGAGGACAAGATCCTCATTCTTTTTCATCAAGCGACCCTCAGGTCTCGGGGATTCTGGAAGTGCTACCTAGCGGCCATATTCCAGGAGAAAGCGGGCGTCATGATGAACGAGTGGGCGTATGGCATCTACTAATACTTTCAATATCGCACTAATAACCCCTTCGACTAGGCTCTTGAGGACGATGCAAGACCTACGACAGGGTGTTGTGGAGGGGATTCGCAGTGTAATTGCGACGGAGCTGTTGGGAAGTTACCGGCAGAACAACGCTGAGGAAGACGAAGACGGGGAGGAAATCGCCAGTATAGCTACTGACGAGGTGGACGCGCCTGGGTCGTAAGGCACGGGAAGAAAAGAAAAAGATCCGCTCGAGGCCCATTCCTACAGCCGGCACGCAGGAAGTGAACTGAATCGCTATTTCGATACCACAGGTACCCGAGCACATTTTATATCTTGTCCGCTGCAGATCATTGCTGGAAAAGTCTCCAACGGGGATATCAGCATACAGCTGAGTGGATATCCGCCAGGGGAAGTACACGCTTACGACTTTTGAAATCTCCTCCACTTTCACGAAGCCTTCGTCTAAACGATCGCGAAAAAAGAGCAATATGGCAATGACTTGCGCAGGTGGGAAGGCTTCAGAAACTATCACGCCTTCGCCTATCGAGGATACATCTCGCATTATCAACTTGATAGAGAGACAGAACCGTCTTCAATAAACGACCAAATGGGTATTGAAAAAGAAATATTGAAGCAGAGATGTCAGCAAGTGGTTTATCACCGGCATGATCGATAACAACACCATACCAGCATGTCGCCGCAGGACCGTGGAAGCCTTCAATCTTATCGAACAGAGTGTGCACACATCTTGCCGTTTGCTCTTAGAAAATTCATGGACAGAGATACACAAGTGATTAATTATTTTCATATCATGCGTATCGTGTCTTTAAACAAACTAAGTGACTTTTATCTTGCCTTTCCTCCTTTTTTTCTTTATCTTCAATATTTCATTTAAGATTTAATCGCTTACTGACATAAATCAGATTCCGGTATCGTATCATTGTCCGGGTGGTTTATAGCGAGATGTTCATCTTCCACGAGGAAATTAGGGGCTTCGGATCGCACCGGGTCGTAAATGACCACTTCAGCTCAATAACTGGGATAATCGTCTATTGTATACACGGAGACAAGATCAGACGGCAGCTCGGCGACAGGGAATTCTTACAGCAGTTCTTTAAGGACCGGTTCAGCTCGCTGTGGCCGGTGATGATCGGGATGCGTACTCATTTGTATGTATGTCTTTACTATGTTTTCGTAGGTGCGAGCTCTCCAGGTACTGGTAGCAGCAGTAGCAGCAGTAGCAGTAGTTATGTCCAGAGTGTTGGATAATAGGACCAGGGTATTGGACAACTTTTCTCCTTTCTTTATATCCTGTTCTTAATTTTACAACGTTTGAGGCTCTGTTTTGCGGGCTGAGCCTTGCTCTTTTAAACGCAATGGTGAACACCATCATGGCAGGGAGATTCCTATAAAAAAGGCATTCTTGTCAATCATTTGAAAAGCTTCCTGGTCATGATGCAAAACAATACCTGGATGTCTGATTCAATGAACACATACAATATGAACTGGAAAAATTGCTGCAGCCAAGCGGTGGTCCCTTTTCGATCTTTCAAGACAGTGGACTAGACGTGTATATGGCTTACGTTGGTAAACTGATATTGATTAGAACCAGGGTATGAAGAAGAATAATGCGATGCCACTAGAATAGAAATGATAGAGTTAGTGGAAAAGATGAACTTTACGCCGTTGCAACAAATCGTGTGTTATAAATGTAGGCAAAAACTAACTATCATAATCCTGTGCAGAGGCTTCGTCTGCTACTTTCTTTAGATATCAGAAACGAAAAACATGAAATCATATAAATACTGCTTAATTTCCATCCAATTATCCATAACCTCGCAAGAAGCCTGTTGATGACAACCTTATTCCAGTCACTTTCCAAACTAAATGGGATTGTTCAAACTTCAAATGTGTGGCATTGCACCACTTCCTTGGAAAGACATTTTACGCGACGATTCCAACATTGGCTGCGCGGATCGAGGCTCGGAATCGGGCGGCATGAGACCGCCTGTTATTTGAGCTGGAATAACCTTCATCGTCTTCATCGGAGCCGGTGGGGTCAGAAACCAGTGCGGTGTTGTTTTCATCAGATGCATCAGAAAGCTGGACGTTTTTCAACCCGATACCCAGCCCAAGGGTTCCGCTGCCTCCGCCTGCAGAAAGTGATAGACCAGGGATGAGTGCTCCCAAGCCAGTTGCGTTCAATAGACCAGAGCCAAGGCCAGTAGCAGTAGAAGCTATGCCCGAGAGACCTGACACTAACCCACCAAGGGGCGAGCCAGGTGGAGCTGAGAGCGTTACATTAAGATTAAGACCAATGCCAGGAACACCTGATGTAACGGCAGGAAGCGCTGATCCTAGATTACCGAGAGTTGATCCAAGGTTACCAACAGTGGATCCAATAGCAGATCCTAAGCCAGAGGTCAAGTTCGGTGCCAAACCGGAGAGTGTTGAGTTAAGGCCCGAGACAATAGATCCGACAGTTGAACCAAGACCGGGCAGCGCGCCATTGAGTGTCGAGTTCAGGCCTGAGGTGACAGACCCCAGAGTAGATCCAGCAGTGTTGGTAACACCCCCAATCACACCTGGCAAACCCCCGGTGATAGAACCCAGTGTGCCCGTCACATTGCCAGTAAGAGGACCCAAAGCTCCTGTCAAGTTGGCCGCAGGGTTACCAGAGAGGAGCCCAGATGTGAGTCCTCCAAGTCCTCCCAGTCCTCCCAGTCCTCCGAGCCCTCCGAGCCCTCCAAGATGTCCTAGTGCTCCCAGTCCAAGCCCGCCGAGACTGCCACCTAAACCTCCAATGCCACCGAGGCCTAATAGATGTAGTAAGAACGTAAGAAGCCCAGAAACATCATTGACGAGAGCACCAAGTAGAGTAGAGCCGCCGCCAAGACCGCCGCCCAACCCACCCAGCCCTCCCAGAGTTCCGTTAATGCCAGGAAGACCTCCTGTCAAGCCTCCAACAGTACCGTTGAGGATACCAGGGAGACCTCCTGTAAGACCTCCGAGGGTTCCATTCAAAAGGCCAGCGAGACCGCCGGCCAGCCCTCCCAAAGTTCCGTTAATGGCAGGGAGACCTCCAGCAGTTACATTCTGCAACTGAGGCGGCACGATTCCAGTGTTGATAGGGTTAACATTCCCATTCAGGAGGCTCTGCAGAAGGCGGGCAAGACCAACAGGATCAAGCCCATGCAGAGCGGCGATTCGTTGAACTTCTCTCGTCACCGAGAGTTGGTCAGTAGCACCGTGGATAAAGTCAATCAGATGCTGGATTTCGGCGAGGGTCAACCCGCCAGGCAGGGTGATTCCACCGTTTGCTCCGTTGGTGACATTTCCAACTGGGGTAGTAACAACTCCGCCAGGAAGATTACCAACAGTGCCGCTAGGAAGACCCCCAATAGTTGTGTTCAAGCCATTCAGAGCTCCACCGGTCAGGTCAATCGGACCAAGGCTGCCTATGCCATTTAAACTGCCAAGAGCGTTCACAAGGCCTCCAAGCAGACCGCCTGATCGCCTGAGAAGATCTGTAGCGGTAGGGTTGAGATTTCCAAGAGACAGGACGTTTTTCAAAGCTGTGAAGATACGACTGGCATCTAAGCCACTTGAAGCAGCGAACTGGTTAATGTCGTCTGTAGCCTTCTGAGCATTGCCCTTTGCGTTGGTGATTATGGTAATCAATCTGCTGATTACGGAATCGTCCAGGTTCTCGATAAGGTTCCTGAAAATCACATTTATGGCAGTATTGAGGTTGCCCAAATCCAGCCCAGAGCCACCGACAGCACCGCCAACGTTGCCTGCCGTGCCGGTAATGTTGGCAGGAAGAGAAATCGGGTTTCCAGGAAGAGAGATTGGGTTTCCAGGAAGAGAAATCGGGTTTCCAGGAAGAGAGATTGGGTTTCCAGGAAGAGAGATTGGGTTTCCAGGAAGAGAGATTGGGTTTCCAGGAAGAGAAATCGGGTTTCCAGGAAGAGAGATTGGGTTCCCAGGAAGAGAGATGTTTGCAGGAAGAGGGATGTTTGCAGGAAGAGGGATGTTTGCAGGAATGATAGTGATATTGATGGGTTGCGAGCTGATGCCACCTGGAAGGGAAATGTTCTGCAGCGGAAGATTGGACACAGCCCCGGTGAGGCCACTCAAATTGAGTCCATTGATGCCAGTGGAGGGCACAGGAAGTCCCAAAAGGCCTCCCAGGTTGAGACCACCGGTGATGCCGACATGGGCTGAGGAAGAACCACCGTGACCACCGCCGAGCAGGCCTCTCAAGAGCTGAGTGACGAGATCAGAAACTCCTTCAAGAAGACCGCCAACGCCAGCTACTAGGCCTCCACCGTTGCTACCACCCAGGCTGCTGGAGACGCCGTCCGCTGCATCCGTTCCTCGTTTTTGCAGCGAGGAAGCCGCTGCTAACAAGTGGCTAAGCAGTACACGATCTTCTTTAGCGAGCTCGCCCGTCGATAAATGGGTCGCTAGTAATTTCAAAGCGTTTGTGTCTTGTTGTTGTTGAGCTTGCAACGCAGCATTTCCGGTGGGTGCTGCCACCGATTGCCCCGCAAGTGCAGCAAGAAGAATGATGGCTGTGCTCGACTTCATGCTGAGCGTCGAGACAAACAAATATCCGGTCAAACTGATTCAATGAGTGACAAGACCGAAGGGATTGCCTGGCTGCCGGTACAAAATAAGGAGTCAGACGGTCTTTCCTTCAAATCTGTGACACAGCATGGGCAATCATGATTCTTATACTGCTCTAAATCCATGATATATCAGGCTGGATTCATGTCTTTCGGGCCTATAGCACCGTCAATTTGGATCTCCATGCCTGCAACACAGCTTCAGACATGAGTGGCTCCCGGAGATCTACGAGAATATCTCTTTGATGGAACGTAGACTGGATGGGGATGGGCCAGGAACCAATGAATGACCGGCCAACAATGACTGATTGTCACGAGATATGGGATCGAAACTCCAGGGCCTTGGCGCTGGGAATTTTGAGTGGTCCAGATGCGAGAACTTTGAGAATTTTGTCTATATGCCATTTCAGAACAGAGCAGCCTCCCAGCAAAATCGCCGCCAATATGTGACCTGTCAGTGCCGAGCGTCGGGAATCTAAAACATGTGTGATTCATGGCGTGCTATGAGCCGCATTCCACAATCTTCAGTCAGCTTGATTCAAACAATTCACCCTCCGAGGAAAGGGGTCGGTTGGACATCCGTTACGTTGGGAACTTGACACACGTTCTCTCCCTTGAGTTCCAGCGCATGTTTTCTTTCTGTAGCCAAATTAATAGGTATGGATTCTGGATTCTGGATTCTATATACTTTCTTCGTTTGCGTCTAGCAACTTTATTGCATTCCCAGCCTAGGATGTTAGGTCTAATGTCTTGGAAAAGTAAGATGAAAAGAGGTAGAAATATTGGTCTGAGACGGCTGTTTCGGGAATGGCACGTGCAATCACATTCCCCCCAGAAGCAGTCACATAAAGAGCTACGATTATCAGGGTTCTATACGTAGAACCACCTCAAGGATTTTATCAGGATAGTATAATTTTTGTATTTCAAATAGGTCATCGTAGAATGCAAAACTGATATGTCGGGACTTTCATACTGAGCAACTTCTTTTGTGAGCAAAGATTAAGTAAAAATTGTTGAAGTTGAGCTCATGAGCTGACTTTGTTTGTCATAAGACACGAGAGACCTTTCCATCATGTCCTTCCTAATCTTAGCAACCAAATACGTCCGTAATCCTATTCGCTTTAAATTCTCCGTTGTATCGCTCTGCTTTCCGATTCCAGCTTAAAAATTCTCTCCTGATATTGTTCAATCAATCTCTGCTGTATTGCGTTTATCTGCCGCAAATAGATGTTCTCGTCGCCGAGTTCTCTAACCTGAGTTTGCATGTCGAGTTGACTCATTTGAGAATATTGCAATTCTTCGAATGGCTTGTACTTGCTTCGTAATTCATCATTATCGCGTGGCGGTGGCACCTCGTTTGTACCAAGATCAGGTGGAATCATGGACTGTCGGCTCATTGCAGCTGGCGTTTCGACTACTTGTGACGTGCTGTCAGTTTCGAGGCATCGCTGTAGAGCAAATGTATTTGTTGGTGAAGGCGTTGCTGCCGCCACTGTCATTGCTGGCGTATTCAAAACGCTACTGATACCCTCTTTCTGTCTCCTAGACCGGTGATTTCCAATTGAGGTAGCTGTGCGTTTCGGTACTCTGAATCTGTCATATTTGCATTCTTCAGGTGTAGGAACAGGCGGCACCCATTCGTCCAACTCAAGCACTTCTTCAAGGTTTGGAGGCACAACGCCAGTGTAAGCTGGCTTCGACGCAAAGTCGGGAAACCGTTTCAAAACTTCGGGGAACCAAGTCTGCCTGGCACAAGCCGCCGGTCCAAACATAACTCGGAGCATCCAAAATCGTGGCCAAGTGACTTTTTGCTTTATTCGTGTATGCAACTTATGGCTGCTTATAACCCCCTTGCTGATGGATATGCGATAATTGAGATCTTCTGATTCAACTAGCATATCACTGCGCATTTGTGAGTCCCACGTCTCATTTTCTTGGATATACCGTTCAACGAGTTGGCGATAAACAGCGTGTGTGACAACGTTATCGCGATCATCAGGTTTCCTGAACGGTAATACGATGGTATGGGATGCTGTTTCTTTCAAAACTCTTTCTTCTGCGGATATGGCCGCAACGGGGAGCTCGTTTTCAATAGTTGGGCGTGGGATTTCTCGTTCTTCAAATATAATCTCGTTTGTGTATTTCGCGTCCATATTGATGGCGAATGGTTAGAAAAAAGAGAAGAGAAAAACCGCACGTATTGCAAGATGAAAACGGCGCAATGTCATGAAAGCATTGAAGAAGAGAAGATGAAAAGTGATGGAGGAGTTGAAAGAGGAGAGGTAATATAGCGAGACGACGAGGTACCAGTTGCCTCAGGCCTCGGGCCTCAGGTCTACCAGCTGTTATTTCAATCCCTCACCAGCTGTAGGCAATTGAAACCATATTTTGCTGACAGAAAGAAAAGACATTGAGTCGTAATGCTGCCTATACTCCGTATTGACATCTCAGCTATGTTTAGCTTTCATTTTCGTTGCTGCTAATCCGAAGTTTCATAATCAAGGCATTTTGGAGCTCTTAAAACGTAGTTACCAGAGATATGTATTCGCTTAATTTTGTCCCCAGTCTATATGCCTGCATTGAATCCCTAAGCAACGTTGCCGCCCATCCTAATGCCATTAAACAACCCTAGTTCAATATTCTGACGGCTTGTCCCCCTTTTTGTTCTGAATCCCCGCCATCTAATTATACGGTAGAAGTAAAAGTATATAATCCTGTCCCTCAAAATCCTCCCTGCCAGTGTCACACGCCTAAAAAGAAAACGATGGCAATCTTGAATATGTTCTTTTCAAACCCACAGTGGAAGCTCAAGGAGGCGGCGGCGGCGGTGGCGGCGAAAGATTGCTTGGAGTTGCGGCACGACGTTCATTCAGCCTGAAGGCAGCAAACCGTTTAGCAAGTGGCTCACCTGGCTCACTAATAACAGAAGGGACCTTGGAATGCAAAGAAGATGAAGATGAAGATGAAGAAAGCGAAGAAGACGAGGTCGCCAGCGGAACTTCATCGTGCTCCCGTAAACGCTTGGGGATTCGCTCACCAGTCGATTTCAGGATGGCCTGTAGTGTCTGCCAACCTTGCGTAGAGCGGAGCTGGAATGAGTCGGCAAGATCATGCTGGGTGGCAACGCGGCAGAGAAGAGCTTCCTCATCCTAAAGAGAAAAAGGAGAGAAATTACTGGTTAGCAAGATGCATGCTTAAAAGAGCCTAGTAACTGTACTATTGAAGAGAAAGTCGAGGAGACAAACCTTTGAAAGAACTCCAAGTGTGTGGATGAAGCATAGAATGTGAAAGTTTGATACTTCTTGGCCGTTATCGCTGGCTTTCTGACCAGATCGCAAGTTCAACACTCGTGCCAGGGCCGAATGCTCTTGACTCTCGCCAATGTATTCGCGGTTCTCGATCGGGAATCCTGTCTGCGTAAATGTGGGCTTAGGCTCGTCCGGGAAGCCGTGTGTTAGAGTCACAAAAAGATATTCGACAGGGAACGCTGGCTTGGCGTTCTGCTGTACTTTTGCCCCGTATTCGTTCACCTTGCTGTAAAACACTTCGGGAATATATCTCGTCCGACTGAGCGAGCCGTCGTCTTCCTCTTCTTCGCGAACAAGCATGGAGTTGGGATCTGCTGATGGTTCAACTATATCAGCTCGCACCATTTCGACAGCATCATTGGACATCTGATATGCTGAGATGGCAATGTTTCCTTCTTCGTCACCTGTAATGACACAAGTGACAAAATTGGAGCCGAATTGGCCAGAGTCACTCCATTTCGAAGGCTTGGGGTATTGTGCCTGCAACCTAGATGAAAAGCAGATCTCGAGAGATGACAGAAAGTATGAATCGAGGTGGCGCTTGCAAACAACGGATCCGTCACCATGTCCTGAATCGAGCAAGTCTGTCCAGATGGCACCTACGGGTTCCAATCCACAGAGCTTAGCAATATGATCGATTTCTTTCTGGTTCTCCCAGGCATTCATGCTGATTCCATCAATCTCATCGACCTGCGGCGGTTCATAAATGGCCTCCACAACAGCCTTCACTCCTAGTGGGACTTTGGTGTACTCCGCATATCGGCCATAAAGATAACCAAGTCGTTGTGAGCCAGTCTTCCGCCAGGTATCAATGAACCCGTCAATTATGGAAGGGCTAGAAAACTCAACATGATCCACCATGCGGAATGTCTGAGGATTGAGGGTAATCGCACTCGGTTGGCACTTTGTGCAAATGCCTTCTGGCCAAGCCGGATGGCCGGACGGGCAGTCTCTCTTGACTCGGAAATATGGCTCCACGAGGGGAGGTATATATGACGTTCCAGATTCTGGTTTGTTCGTCGCGGAGTTTATCTTGCGTAGATGAGCGTGGAAAGAAGGGTATTTGATTCCATTGTCTGCCAGATAGCCTGGGTCGAAGGGGTCCACGGGCTGACAATAATCGCACATGCCTTTGGGTCCGTGTCGACACATCCGATCTCGACCTCGAGGAATCTTACCATCCAGCTTATCCAACCGGTCGTCCAAGGCCGACTGCTTTACGGTCTCCCAGGGCTTCGAGATTCTTTCGGGTTTGGGGTCGATGGGAAAGTCCTCTGTGGGTAGAACAGGCTTGCCGTTGAGTCTGGCAGAAGTCACGGGGGCGGGAATTTCGCCGTTGGTATCATTTTCGGTTTCGTGTTGGTAGCTGAGGAATATCAGATCGCCATGCCTGTAGATCATCCTGTCAGTAGTGCTTCCAAAGCCTCCGTCTTATACGCAAACTGCGACGATGGCGTACTTAAGGCCGATCTGACCGATCTGAAACTGAACAATATCACCTAGCCTTTTCGCATCACGACCGGTCGGAGAGTTCGACAGTACGATCGTCTTTGGGTCAATGGTCGAAGGTAGTTGAGCAAGCAGCTAAAAACACCATTTAGTATTCACGGGCAAGTCAAGGATCTCCCGTCAGGATACCCACCTGCTGTCCCAAATCGCCAAATGTTGTTGTCGGCTCTACCGTCATGCGGATCATGCCATCTGGACCACGAAGTCTAATCAACATGGTGGGCGAATAACGGTTGTAAAAGCCAAAGTGTCGAGCGTGGTATGTTAGTGGGGGGGAGTTCGGCTATAATAGAAGAACTGCTAGAGCTCGAGGCGCAGGCAGATGCGTAAAGAAAAGAAGAGAAGAAAAAGGAAGAAATCCGAGCCACAGGTTTATAAATCGGCAGGGGGGCGACGCTGCAGCATGACAAGCAGCGCAGCGAAGGGAATAGACGCGGAGAAGAAGAAGCTGAAGCTTGATGAAATCATGCGAAGCTCCAGCAGTAACTGTACGTCAAGCGTCATTCACAGTGTGCCTGAAGCGCCACATCTAGATGAAGTAAGCAGCTGTGCCGTGGAAGATTAATCGGCCCGCTGTGCCGCAAGCTCCCTTGCCAGCGCTGAGGCACCGGAAACTGTCACTGCTTGGCGCAGAGCGGCAGTTGTTCGGTACGTACCCCGCGACAGCCTTGCAGCCGCCAATCTGGCCAGAAAAAAGATGGGCATGTGTGCGACGTGTCGATAAGCATCAGCAGTGCGCTCTGTTCGTTTATAATAAGTGGCCATAGGGAAAACCCGTCCCTCGACCCTCAACCCTCGACTCACGACTCACTCGATTTCACGGTTTTCCCCGTCCGCTCATTTTTTTGTCTTCTGGCGCAGTTCTTTATAAAGAGAGGCAAACAATTCGGCGTTTCCATCTCGCAAACCACTACACAGCTGCAAGCGATTGATTATCCACAGCCCAGCCGACAAAATGTTTGACATTGACTGGAAGGGCCTCGCCCTTCCATTCGCCTACCTCCTCGTTCTCGGCGGCGCTCTCATGACATTTTCTACTATCTATCGCCGACGGAAGATTGGTACGGCGCTGCTCTCTTTTTTCCTTTCCTCTCGGTGTTCCCTCGTCTAGTACCCAACGCTGACATTATAAATCATCACCAGCTGAAAGCGCAAACCTCGCACCCTGGTTCGGCCCTCACCTCCAACGAGACATCTATCTTTCCCTCTTGCATCTTGATCCCGAAGACGGCGGCGAAAAGTCCCCCAAGGTCCCTGATGGAGTTCTGCGAGCAGCCCTACTCCGACGCGCAGTTGAGGATATCGAGCGCCTGATCCACATCAAGACTGCCAAGCAAGCATGTGGCTCGCTTCTGCAGAGGGGAAGTGTGGGTGATGATCTGTGGCAGCGATTCTTGCGCGCCGAGAAGGAGATGGAAGAGGAGCTTAGAGATGTTGTTACTGAGGTATGTTGACCCTATGCCCTCCTCCGAGATACAAAGAGAAAGAAGGAAGAGACCACTGACTCAAATTACCTAAGGCCAATGCCCTGGCACCTAATTGGGGCACCATTATCTTTCAGTCCGCCCACGAGATTGCCGCAAACACAAAGCTTCGCCAGCGCCTAGACGAGATCCAAGCCCAGACTGATGCCGAGAAGGCTTGGTGGGACAAGAAGAGGGGACAGATCCAGGCAGACTTCATGAAGGAACTTGAAGAGTCTGAGAAGGGCTCAACAAAGGACGGAAATGAGGATGACGCCGTGGTAGTTGACTCACCAAAGAAGGGTGGCAAGAAATGATAGAAGAGGTGGGATGGGAGACGGAGATGTAGACACGAGGCTGGTGTTTTCGACACAGTTACTGTATCATTGTACATATATATATTCTAGGGAGAGAGAAGGGCAAGGGTTACTCTGGTCCTTGATAGGTCCAATCACATGAATGCAAAATCAGGTCTTGGGAAATCTCATTGCAGATAGTGTATCAAAAATATAAGGAAATTTACAAAATCATAATAGTATTTCTACAATCAGTGCCGCTATGTGGTAGTAAGTCCTCACGATAGAACAACTATCCTCGTCTGTAGTTAGGGGCAGACATCATGAACCAGAAAAGTTCGACATACCTCAGCAGAGGACTGACAACTATCACATCCTAGTATATCGTAAAGATGAAAGTCACCCAGCACCCCAAATTCTATTATCCAGCGCTTTAGCATGTGCCACTGCTTCTACTGTAAGAATAAGAATTGAATAGCTTTTTATTCTCTGTATGCCGGCTGAGTTTTATTAAAAGGTGAGAATGTCAGATCATAGAACTGAAGCGCCGGAGAGCTATTCTATGATAATAATATCATATAGCAATAGCATCCCTTTCCCTCCTCATTGGCTGTATTTGTCCGAAAGAAAAACAAAGTCTGTCCACAGGTCAAGCCAGCTTGGCGTTGCTCGTTACTAAATTGTGTCGCAAAGTCTCTCAAACGTACTATACACTTCGGATCTAGTAGTGTATGAAACTCAAGCCCATCAATGTGCTGCTCGGTTCTACCTTGAATGTCACCCCATGAAGACTGAAAACGGCTCCGGTTATCTCGGTGAGCTCTATTTGAACTGGAGTCAGTTCGTGCAATGACTGGCTCTTGGATGCACATTTTGACCTGTCTGAAGAAGAAGGAAATCCAGTACTCCTTCTTGATCGATTTCCCTTTATATGGTAAGCTTATTCGATTTCAATACATGATAAGTTATGTCTTTCTCCGTCAAGGCGTCTTCTCCAAGGCCATCCGTCATTATTTGAGCTAGGTAACAGCAGTAGCAGCATTAGCAGCATTAGCCTACATATATGTTATTGGTAGCTGGGGTGTAAGATAATAGAACTGGAACACTGGAAACTTTTCCCTAATAGCAATTATGACCCCTTGAAAGTGTCTTCTTTATTGGTTGTCTGCAAGAAATAGTTCAAAGCCGATCCATAGATCAAGCCAGCTCTCCAATGTTGTTAGGTCGGTATCAACATCTCAGTGTTTGACTTTGCTGCTGTCGCTGGTTTTCCGTCACTGCAATCTGAGGCAAGGATTAGTGTTATCGAGTGTCGTACATATTCTTCTTTTGCAGTAGCCAATGTCGGATAGTGCCATAAATAACACAACATAGCGTTTAAGGACCCGGGGCTTTCGATAGCTTTCAGATCGTCGACTCGTCCATTCCGGTCTTTTGCAAATTAACGACGTTGAGCCCGGCGTAGTCCATCTCGGGTCCTCAGTGGCCCACCCTTCTTCATTGTCGTGTAAAAAGGCGTCCATCTTGGCGGCGGCGAGGGTACAAGCAATGTGGCCTGTTTCACCACAACGATCCCCCGAATGTCGTAGTGTTGACCGCAGCCGACCGGCACTGTTTCTCCTTTCCCCAGGTCCGCAGACTTTGAACTATTCAGATCCTGAATACTTCAAAATCAGCCAACGTAATTGGTCTGATCTCCCCACCCACGCCACCATGTAGCTTTGCGCAATGTTGAAGATTTTCGCGGAATGTCTCAGTTGTGTTATTCCAATGGAATACTTCGCCTCTCCAGAGTACAATATTTAGCCCTGTGAAGGAAGTTGAGGATATTCGAGATCATAACAGCTTCATCTGGGTCATTCTGAACAGCTAGATTAATGAAATGTTCTTTTTAAGCATCCATGGGTGTTGTTGGTGGAGGTTGAAAATTTAACAACTTTCCAAAAGCGAGCGAGACGGTAACATATAATCCGTCGTCATCCAGCAAAGGTGGATTGAAACTTTGGCTAAGCCGTATTTCCAAGAAATGTTAGTTTCTTGTTTCTTCGTTTGCACAACTGGTGATAATTTCTCTCAAGATCTGTTCAGTCCTTTGGCCCTCTTGCAACGATGCCAGCTGTTCCAAGCCGGCGTGCCAGGTATAATGGGTCATTTGTGGTCTGAACTTCCAGCCCTCGCAGAGATGGTCGTAATGGTCATTATCTTTTATAGTCGAGCTATTGGATCTTCCTCTTTGTGGCCCAGCGAAAGGATCAAATTACCCTGCTTCCCCAACTAGAACGATTGGTGGTTCGTTCTTATGATGTTCTCTCGATATGGCTCTCATTTTCTTCGAAGCCCAACATTTTCATCCTTTGTGCTTATCGCTGCTTTCATTGTTGTCTTCGCGGTGTGCTGCTACTGCTGTTACCGCTGTTACTACTACGTACATGTAGTTGCTTGCCTGCTGGGTGCTGCGCTACAGCAGGACTGAGAGAGGAGATAAAGTCGCATCTACATGTAGTGTAGAACAAAAAAAAAAACACTGATTGTGTTATTACAGAGGTCTTTTGTCGATACATGAAGATATATTAGCAAGATAGCGTAGCTACAGACACTCGATATACATAGATAGTGGGCATCTTCTGTCTTCATTCTTAGCTGCCAATCTTCGCCTCACACTTGATGCCTACTAGTACTGTAGGTTGTGTTGTTTCCATCAAACCACGCTCCCTTTAACATCAGCAAGACGAAAAATTAATCGAATTTGTCTTTATTGTATTTAATATAAAAGATAAACAAGTATGTTCAAATCGTATCAAGTCATTGCTATAGATATTCTCTACACAGGCCTTCCGTTAATCCACCTCTCCCGCCGATGCTCCGTGTATGATGTTCTTATAAGCCCTCCCGACTCTCACGACCTGTACTTAAACACAAGTGTATGCAGAGTATGTACGAAAGTCCCTGGCGGGAATGGCAGTGTCAAGTTGCCAATCTAAAATGCAAGTAGTAGCCGTTTCAAAAGAACCATTCCAATCCAATGGCTGGAAAGCCAAAATAAACCAAAACAAAACGCCATAAATCCTTTCTAAGCCCGAGAGCCAGAAGTCATCCTTCACCGAGGATGTCGATTCTAGATCCGTGATGATAATTGATAATGATAAACAACGCTGCGCCCATAAATAAAAAGGGAAATGAACCAATTTGTTCATTACAGCTGAGAGAAGGGATTCATCTTCCGCTTCCAAACATCCTCATCGGCTGCATTCTTGCTAGCGAGTCTGGCGTCTCTTGCGATCTGTTCTTCGGTCTTGAGAACAGCCGTCGGGTTCTCGCAGCCCCTCAGGCCGATAAATCTGCCCATCTTGCGGCGCTTCTCTTCAAGTGGTGCATCGGAACGCCAGTTGACGGGGCAGGGGTACTGTCTAGACCAAGGTGATGGAGTGCGTTGGTGGTAGAACTGAGCAAGGGATTCGAGTTGAGCATCGGTGAGGAGCCAGAACTGAAGCACAGTGCGTGGGAAATGAGGGTGGATGGCACCGGTAGTGAGCTGGACAAGAGGAGACAGGGGCAGGGCCATCTGGTTTAGCTTGTGGGCGAGCTCGGGATTCTTGGCGAGTCGGCGACGAAGCGATGTCTTGTGGTTGCGGTGGCGGGACGGTAGGCGGCGGTGGTGCATCATGGCGGCGGTGGAATATATTGGCAAGGAGATGCTTTTTTTTTTTTTTTGGTAAATCCGCACTTCTGGCGGTTGATTGCCCTCTATTCTTTTGCCTTCCCCTTCTTCTTGGTGTCAGGACCGAAGCAAGCTGAGACAAAGGCTGCGGTGGTGCCGATGGCGAGGCTCACTGTCGAAGACGCGCGAATCCACAGTTCAGCACACAGATGACGAGTGCCAACTTTTTCGCTTAAAGAGGAAAGTTGGGCTCTTTTAAATGAAAATCGAGCGCTTCGGCTGCGAATGAGATCTGAGATCGCTTGCTGTAGTGTCTTTGCTTTTCGTACAAAGTTGGCCGTTCTCGGAAAGTAGAGCTTAGCGAGGGTCGGCCAAGTAGAAGCGCCTGTGTGAATGCGGGCGGAGCGTCCGTTGTGCGGCGTGCGCAATGTACGAGTCCGTTCAAAGGCTAAACCAAGATCAAATGCCAGGCGAGACAGCGAGGCTTGCTCAGCTAGATTTTATTTTTCTTTGCTCCTTTGTATGAAAACGAAAGAGGGTAGAGAAAGGCTGACTCTCCCGAAAGCAAAACAAATAAATTTGCTCGTGTCCCCCGGCTGTTTATAGATGGAAACAGCGCCTCCTGTTGTTGGTCCCCTCGTTCTTGTTCACTTGTAGTTGCTGTTGCACCGGATGCGAGACAATCAAAGGCAGTTGCAGGCTCCTAAGCAGCAGGTCCTAGCTTCCCTTTTAAAATGACGATTTGGTTGGCAGGATCCTTCCGGCCAAGTGTTAATATTTCCTTTCTGGGCAACGCAGGATGGAGGACAAGGCTGAGATCCGTGGTCGGGTGCTGGTGCTGACTGTTGTTTCTTCCTTTGGATGGGGGTGGTGTAATAATAAATACTGATCAAGGTGGCACAGAGGAGGAATGCAATGACACGCCTCGATTCACTCGCTCTGTCAGAGATGGGAGCAGGCAACAGAGGCCAGAGAGTCTTTATAGGTAGCTGGATGGGACGGACAGTCGGTAATCGCCTCACCCCAGCTCGTGCTTCGCTACTCACGTTATATTAATATGCACGCAATCGCCTTACATCTACAACTTTGTGCCTGCCGGGCCCCCCTTATTAGTGCCGCTACCACGGCAGCCTCTTCATCAGCATCAGCAGTTGATCCATCACGGCCGTGGGGTGTGTCGGCAGCCCAGCGCCAGGAGTCTGGTCTAGAGCCCGGAGCTGGCGCTGGCGCTGGGCCGGGATCTGGGAAGAGGCCTTAGGTCCTTGGCTTGGGTCCTCAGCCGCCCCCATTGCTGCTGTCTCTGGCTCTGACAGCCACGCCGCCTTGGAGGCGCCTCTTTTTGCTGCTAGTATTGCGACGAGACAGCGCTGGCGGTCCCCACCCACCACGCAGCTGGCTACTGCTCTGGGCAAGGCGCCGAAGCGCTGTCGCTGAGCCGTAATTTGGTACCGGTACCTGGGCATTGTAGGCGACGGAGCAGCCGCCGCTCGCGTGCGCTGAATCTCTGGGGCCCCGCCCGCTGGGAGAGCCCATTACAGGCCAGCGATGCAGCGTCAGGTCGCATCGAAGCACTAAAGCGCACTGGTACCAGCCGCTAATCCAGCAGACCTTCAGCGCGCCTCTGGCTGCCCAAGGTGCTGATACCACCTGGCACGTAGTCCTTGTATCAGTCGCCGGCTTGCAGTCCCACACCCTCGTCCCGCCATTCTCCAATCCCGCAATCCAGATCTTTCCGTCTCTCAGATTCGTGCCCCCGGCGGCAAGGAGATGCAAATGGAGCACAATTCTAGCCAGCCCTTACCACCGCAGCGGTTGTAGTTGGACGCTACCTCGCCTGGGGGGTCCATGGCCATTGGCATTGGGGAGGGGCAGAGCTTTGCGACGGACGCAGCCACGACAACGCCAGAGTGAGACATTCTAGCAGAGCTGACCCTCCAGGGCCCTAGACGGGCAAACAGACAGCGTGACGATGGATGCGACTCTGCGTGATTCGCTGCCTCCATATGCGGTGGCATTGTGCTACCGGCGAATGAATGGTCATTGACGGCAGCTCGGCCAACTCGACCCAACGCCGAGACCAGAAATGCCAATGTCTCCGTCGACGTTGGCTTCGACGTTGGCTTCGACGATGCCAACAGACCGAGAGCGAGCGAGAAAAGAGGCCCTTCGGCTCCCGGATCCGCAGCTGCTCGAGGCCCGGCGACGCTGGTTCCGGGCGATGCTCAATCCATCCAAGGCCGGTTCCGCCTCTCAGCCATCAAGCACCACCGCCCCACGTCTCAATTGCAGCAGGCCTGCCTAAAGTACGCCGAAGGAAGCAGCTCAAGACGCCAAATAGGCGAGACAGCGAGCGGCCAGGTCCACGGCGTGCCGGTGCTTTGGGCTGGAATGCTAGGCCGGCAACTGAAGCACATGGAGCTATTTTCGGTTGCGACCTGCAGTCATGCCTCGCTCTCCCTGCCGTTGACGCTGGTTCTCTTTGCTTTTCCGTTTCTCATTTACCGGACCGGCCAATGCTACCTGGTGCCCGAATAACAGGTTATACTTGCATGCAGTTGGTGCCCTGCGCGCGCGCGATCTGCACAAAGCCCATGATAGCAACGGATCGGTGGCACATGGGCTTCTAGGCCGCCCAGCCATGTGGCCGCCAGACACAAGTTGAGCCTCCTTGCCACTGAGGACCCGAGGCCTTGCATGCAGACGAGACTATTGCCCTTCTCCCTGCGGATGGTGTCTGATGGTCATAAACATTCGCATTCAACGGCGTCCAATCCGTCCTCTTGGCTGGCTGTCGCGCTACTGGACTCTTGCTTTCAGTGACTGCCATTGGAGTTGTGCTTTATCTCCCCGAGCCAAAGCGAGACTCGCTCGATAAGCCGGTCGCCTGATCACGAACTAGAGTAATACGGATAACATGATCGACAACGCATGTACTACCTTTCCTTACTTGGCACCATCTTGTCCAACCGCAAGAATCTCATGGAGCTCCGCCAGCCCAATCCCGGAGCCGGCCTGAAATTACATGGGGTCGTTGGATTCAGAGGTGACTATGTTTCCAGAACACAGTTGGCCCACTGCTAAAGATCCCTGATGGGAGAATGCTAGGTACAATGCATGCAGTACTACTACTAAACAAAAAGGAAACAGAAACAGAAAGGACAAGACCCTTGGGATCCTGTCTTTCCGCTTGCACGCATAGATAGGCTCTCTACGGCATAGCCGCGCAGCCCACCGGCGTACTAAAAGCTGCATGTGTCACATATAAGACATGCTAGCAGAGACAATAACTAAATCGCTGCTGGGCTTAGCAGCTGCAGGGCAGCAGACGTTTAGAGTCATTGTGGACACTCGAACTTATTATAGAGTCGCAGCGTTGCGTATTGCTGGCTAGGCCATGATGCTACTCCGAGTATACAATCAGGAGCGAGACGCAAGTTCAGCTTGAGTCAGTCGACATGTTGCATGAGAAGCTATTCACGCTCATGGATCAAGCCTCTTGGAAGGGCCCTTACACCGTATATCTCGCAAGACAAGAAGCCTTGCCCACTGGCAGGCGTATGATTATGCGTGGCTGCAGATGGAGCCATGATTCACTGTCATAGTAGCATCAGCAATATCGTGCGTTATGCCATACCGCTACTCTGCCTCCTGGGCTGGCTGTTAGTCGCGCGATGATCGCAATGCCGGCCCCAAATCAACAGCAACAACAATGGCAAACGACTAGTAGTAATAACTTGCCCCGGCATCAATAGTCCGACAAGACGTAGCATCGCCAGCCTACCATACCCAGCTGCTAATGCATGTCCACGTATATACCACGTATGGCACCGCTCAGGTGAGATTGTTCTCCGTAACCAATACTACCGCTGTCGTCACCTTTTTCATTTTGCCCATCACCACAACCATCTCTTTCTCTCTCTCTCTCTCTCTCTCTTCTCATCTTACATGTCTCAAAATCCCAACCCCAGCTTAGTGGAACCACCAGCCTCCGAAGCACAAACAAACCCCGTGTATCCATAAACGGAGACAAAACGCGCGCAACATCTTACCGAGCCCAAAAAGCTAGGTATAGGTATTATTCGCTGCAATCTCGTCGAATTAAAAAAAAAAAAAATACTTTGTATGAAATGGAGCAAACATTGCCTATCACACAGAGACGAGTAATGGATACAGTATATCGTAATGTGATCCATTCTGCGACACACACGCCACCCCCCCCTTCCTCCTCCTCCCCTCCCCTCCCCCTTCCCCCTCTCCTCCTTCCCCTCTTGCTCCTCCCCCTTCTTCCCCTTCCTCCTCCCTCCCTCCCCCTCCCCACCCCCTTTTTCCTCTTTTCCCTCCCCTCTGTTTTTCCTTCCTTCTCTTCTTCCCCCTCTCTCCCCTCCCCCCTCCCCTTCCCCTTCTCCTCTTCCCCTCCCCCTCCTCTTTCTTTCCCCCCTCCTTTTTTCTTTCTCCCCTTTTCCTTTTTCTCTCCCCAGCTCATCAATTCACTAGCATCTCCACGTCCCTCATCTTCTTCCTTTCCTTCCTCCCCTCCTTTTTCCCCTTTTCCTTCCCCTTTTTCTTCCTCGTTATCATTCCTTCTCTTTTCTTCTCTTCATCCTGTCCTTTATACCTATTTGCTCTCCTTTCTTCTCCTTTCTTTCTCCCTCTTCCCTTTCTTCTACCTTCCTTCTACTGTCCTATTCTTCTCTCTTCTTTTCTTACTCCTTTTCTTCTTTCTTCCTCCTTTCTCCCTCTTTTCTCTTTTTCGCTCATTCCCTGCCTTTCTCTCTTCTTTTTCCTCCTCTCTTTTTCTTTTCTTTCTCTCCTCCACATCCTAGTCTCCTTCTTCCCTCTTTTCCCCTCCTTCTCCCTTCCCTTCTCCCTTTTCTCTTCTCCCCGGCCCATCTCTCCTCTCTCTTATTCGTTCCTTCTTTTATCCTCCTATCCTTTCTTTTCTGCTTCTTTTCCTTTTCTTTAGATCGGAAGAGC